TTATTTCTTCTGGAGCGCGGAATCGCAATAATTTGAATTGTAAAGCCTCGCCTTAGTAACTGAGACAGTTGGTTTTGCAGAGTCCGCGCATGTGCGAAGTTGATTTTTACATTAAGCATTACTTTTTTTAATTAAAACCCACTTATAGTTAAAATCGAGGTTAAAATGTAAAAAATCTCCATAAGAATGTTGCAGTCTGAGCATGCGCCAATTAAACGTCAAGTTTTTTTCTTGGTTCAGATAGGCTACCGAACTCAAAAAGAATGAACTAAATATACTGAAAACTTTAGGAGTAGTTCTGGCATCGGAAGGATCGACGGACGGACGGACAGAGAAAGTTGCTTCAATAGCGCACCCAACTTCGTTGGAAAATGCGCTAAAAAAAGAAGTAAGAACAAAATCTGTGGTTGAAAGGGGGGAGGGAGTTACAAGCTGCTCTACCGGTTGTTACTGTTGGCATCGAGGTTGGCATATTGTCATATTGAATTTTCATTACCTTGATATTAAAAATTTACCAAGCATTAAATGTGTGTACTAAACCATAGCCGGGTTGCAATAAGTAGGTAGTAAATTTTATAAAAACGTCAGACTTTTTGAATCAATTTGAATTTTGTTAAATTAATTCGCTTTTTTTATTGCAGCTAACGGCCTTTGCCTCAGCATTTCTTCCTCATCTTCATCTTGAGGGTCCTGATCCACTAATGTCCTGTATAAATGTATTTGCCTCTTCAGGAACAGTGTTACAACTACTTATATGTTTTTGCATATGGCCAACCCGGGCCAACTATATTAATAACACATGTTAATAAAATAACTTTCAGTTCAGGCTATACAGACTGATTCAAATGAGTGGGTCACCATGGGGATCTCGGAAACTGTAAGAGATACGCAGATGGTATAAATTTGGTAAAGTTACGTACTTTGATGCTTAACAAAATGCCGTTTTGAAACTGAAAAAATTCCGGCTACTTTCGGAGACATCCTGAAAAAAACGAAATTTTGCAAAATCGTTTTTATTTTTCACTTGCTAGCGTTTTGTTTTTTCTTGTTAACCATCATCAACTTTGTTTTTTCTTATAGAAGTCATTTTTATTACTTTTTGTGTCATTTGATAAAGCATTTTTTTCTGTTTTCAAAAATGTAATAATAACTATTTTTTAATAACAAATGGCGCCATTAATTCGTAAAAACTACAAATATACACTACCCAAAACAAAGTTTGCCAGGCAAAAAAGACCATATTTTAACAATATTTAAAAATTGCGATGTTTACGCGCAGCGCATTACAATAAGCGAGACAATAAGTTATTCCGTAGGTCAACTGAACATATATACTAATACATACAAAAATTTCAAAACTTTTTATTATAAACATTTACGGAATCTGCGAGCGTATCGGTAAATCGCGTGATTTTTCGCAATGCTTAACTTCACATGTTAACAGTTTATTTTTCAAATAAATGTCATACCTTTTATGCAATAGGTAGCACAATTCTTGCCGAAGCTATTGTAGAACAAAATTGGAAGGATCAGGTTTCATTTTGACATAATTAGCAGAAACATGCTGTTGTGGGAAATTCGTATACTTATATTGTGTGATAACAAATATAGATTTGTAAATTAACCAATATTCTGCTCCTGATATATGTACAAAATACCAAGCGGTTTTAATGTGTGAAGGGCGGCAAACGTGTTTTGTTTCGCATGTTACAACAAAATCAAATATGGCTATGGTCAAGGCATGTTTACTACCTTGAAGTCCATAAATTATTCTCGAATAAAAACCAAGACGTGAGCCGCTTTATAAGAATCATCCGGACGCAAAGTATAGCCTGCAGCGCACGACTAGTCCTCCCTGTTTCTACTATCTCGTTCCTTCACAATATTTTCATTTCTGGATCAGTGATTATGATTCATGATACCGTTTTTAATTTTAAATAGATTAGTCCAACGTATATTTCTTTCACATATAAACATGACACATTTGTGCCTCGATTTGTGCACATGCTTTTTTGTTACTCAATTTATAAAGATCTGTGTTCATAAAATTTCATTAAAAAATCGCGCATTCGTGTAGGACATAATATTTTTACGTTAAACAAAACTTGTAAGAGCTTCTGTATAAAGTATTGTCCGCTTCTAATATAGTTCGTTCAAACATCAATCACTTAATGTAATTATCAAAAGCTATACTTAGTCCTGTAGTTTTTTAATTATAAATAAGTAAATCAGTCACAATAGAAATAATATAATTATCCGCGTGTAAACACAATTGTAGAAATAACCCGATAACATTAGCATTAGTACAATAACGAAATAAATAAAATTAACCGATGTATTCCAATGTAATTAACCGATTATCATTATTAACTTTCAACGAAGACTGATAAATAACGCAAAAGATCGTTCCCTTCACTCTTCGTTAGTCAGCTGGTTGCAAAGTAGTAACAACTGGCTCTCATTTTTTCGTTTAATCAAACATTTTATAATGAAAACAGTGAAATCGAACGCTATTCAGCACAAACAGCCCTAATTATTAGACAGGCAATGTGCATAACCTGTAGGTAAGTAAATAACTGTACCATGTTATATAAATGGCACACTTTTGTGCCCTGTAGAAAAACCACAATGATTTAGATCCTGAGTGGAATTTTGAAAAAAATGTACACATTTCAAAATTCCGAGCAGAGAGGCTCTGTCGGCCTATCAGTATGGTAAGACAGAAAAACACAAAATAAATAAAAATAAGATTAACCTCAAATAAGGTGTTTTAGAAAATCTTGGTAAGAAACACTATTTGGACAAAACAATTTTGTTTGCTTTCTCCACATGAAGAGAAATAAATAAACATAAAACAGTACTTCAGAGACAATTTAACTTTGTACAATACTGACGCCCATTAATAAACAAAAAGAAAACTCACCATAAGAGAAATAACTGCAAAGTACAATACCGGTCCAAACTAAACCAACTGTAAAAAACTGGTGTTAACTTTTCGAATTTATTGACATTAAAGGAAAACTCACTTTATGCTTTAGGATACTTGTCTTCTTGCACTGAACGTTTGATAAAAAATTGTTGCTTCGTATGGCGGCGTCTACCATTTGCAAATGTCGATTTGTTGGTATTGATTTTTAAAGCCGCATGCGCGGCTGCCAGTGTTGTCGAGTTCGAAACGGCGCATTGCATCCGCCCACAAAAATACATAAATATACAGGATCACTCATTGAAAAGTTGAGGAAAAAATGAGAATCATTCTTTTTTAAAATGTTTTGGCTTTACATTTATTTAGAATCAAACATTACAAAACGTATCACACTACTTTTTCCAGTTACATACATTTAAAAAACAATTGTTGTTATAAAAAATTTCATATGACAACCACGGACCTCTTAATTTTTTTTTAATAGGTCCTTGATGATGACCAACAACATTCATTCCAGCTGAAGATAATCGTACAGTGGAAGAATTTAACCCCAAAGTTAAGAACGCATAATTCAATATTTTGTGCCCGTTTTGTGCCGATGTGTGAGCCTGATTTTGCATTATGTAAGTCAACATTAACCCAGATACGAAATGTTTAAAATGGGTAAAGCGTGTTTTTGATCGGCACCAAAATTTGCAAATGATTTGTGTTAGTTTGATTTTCAACCTTCATCGCGCGTTGTGTGCCTCAACATTAACCAAGATACGGAATTTTTAAAATGGGCTCACAACCTTGCTAAGAACGCATGGTTATTATTTCGATCGGTACCAAAATCTGCAAGTGAATTGTGCCAGCTCTGTGCTGATGATTTGTGGGCGTCATCACTCGTCCTACACATCAACATTACTAAAAATGAAAATAATAATTTCCTGTACTGAATAATAATAATAATAATAATAATAATGCTCTTTATTTTGCAAACAATGCTAACATTACACTGTAAAGCAATAAAAACAAATACCTTAATATACATATGAAACTCGCGCTACAATTTGCATTTGCGTAAAGTGAGATATGGGAAAGAGCGCCATCTACACGGCCTGGTGTAGAATGCATATATATTATATATATGGTAGAATGGCGAAGATTAATATAGTATACCAAGGTTATATATCTCTATAGATATTTTACGTGTATCTGTGCTCTCTCTAATAATATGTGATATTACTAAATACTTTAATATTATCAATTTATCCATAAGACAGCTGCCAATCCATCTCACAGGAACATTAACCAAACCCTAAACAAGCACTATGCCTAAGAAAAGAGGAAAAAGGAGAAGAATAACAATAATAAAGCACGTAGATGACGTAGAACCACCAACAAAGTTCAAACGAAGTATGACAGTTTGCTGTTGACATTTCCTCTACCGCATCGTTGTAGCGCTGTAATTTGCGACCGGTTTTCAACGTCAGTTTTCTGTATTAATATATTAAGGTTTTTGATAAACATTATTGAATTACTCATCCGTCTGGTACATAACCGTTTTGTTTGGTCTCGAGAATATGGCCGCCACACGGAAATTTGCTTCAACACGTAGCATTCGATTTTGCTTGTAAAGCCTTTGTCCCACTCTTAGATCATATAAAGTCCCACTCATAGACATATGAAACATAAGTCTAGCTCTCATGGCATCCGATGTCCGACGATCCGATAGTGTCCCTATTGGTTAAAAACTTTTAAAATGCATTAGCGCTAAAGTGCGGATACGAATTCTCAACATTCGTCCGACGTCGGACAAAGTTGAAATGGATTTAGCTTAACACCTTTCATGTCAAAACGTCAAACGATGGTCGGAAAAGTTAAATCCATCAACATTTTTCAAATTTTCGGATGGTCGGAACTTGCCTATATGTCTATGGTCCCACTGTAATAGTGTATAATATGTAGTTTTAAGATACTATAATATCTTATTCTGTAGTAGCACTCTGGTGCGTAGATGGAGAACTAGAACATGTCGTTGACTGCATCTACAAGCATGGTTATGTTGTGTTCCAATTAAATGTTATACTTGTGTGTCCTGTTTATTATTTTACCTAGAGACAGCGATACTAAATAATACAAATAGTGCAATGAGTGTATAAATGAGGCGTTTTATTGGTTAGTGAGATGTTTAGTTCACGAGCGCAGCTCAGAATTAGCCTTTGCCGTATTTTCATCATATATAAGAACACCCTGTGTATATTACGAACTATTATTTGACGGGTGTGGCAACACTGTACCTGCTACTTTTGTAAAAGTTGTAAAAAAAATATTTGTTTGGTTAGGTGTTACGTTTGAAACGCATTTACAATGAATATATTAAATAAAAGTTCTTTTATAATTAACAAAACAGTTCTACTGGCAAGGTTTGCGACGCTAAAACCCGCAAACGAAATTAAGCAATTAGTCGACAAAAACAAAGTGGTAGTTTTCATGAAGGGAGTACCGGAAGAACCGCGATGCGGTTTTAGCAATGCAGTTGTCCAAATCTTACGAATGCACGGTGTCACATACGACTCTTACGATGTTTTACAGGACGACGCTTTGAGACAAGGCAATTAAGGTACCTACTTTAACAGCTAGTTAACTTTTGCGGTTTCAGGAATCAAAGAGTATTCGAAATGGCCAACTATACCTCAAGTTTTTATAAACGGAGAGTTAATCGGAGGTTGTGATATTATGCTAAATATGCACCAATCCGGCGATCTTATTGAGGAACTACAGAAGGCTGGCATCAAAAGTGCATTGCTCGAACAGAAAGATAAGAAAGAAAAAAATTAGTACATAGATTTGTATTTCCTGTTGTTTATTTATTGGTTTCTTTTAGGTGAAATAAATCTTTAATCTTTACGAGTAATTCTCCATGATTATTTGTACTTGTTATGTTGAATACTTTGTTTTTAAAATCACTGTTTTCAGGTTGCGATTCTAATATCTGTTGAAAACCAAGGAAAAACAAGTTGTCGGCTTCATCTTTCTGCTTTCTTCGTGCTGGTTGTGGCTTGGCATTGTTTTTACTTTTGTTTCCATTCTCCGACATATTTCTAAAACAAATTTCAGTTCACTAATTCAACTTACATAGGTATATAGCCATGATAGCATACGTTTTAATTTAATTCATATTTTGGAACTATGTATAGTACTTTTATGGACAATTATGAATTAGGTATAAAAGTGTAATTGCGATTTAATCAGTTTGCTTAGTAATATGATCTCAAAGTTGCTTGAAGTAAACAGAGAACAATTGTATATTCGCTGTGATAAAAGACTGACTGGTCATTTATTGTTTTATAATTTTCACCAATTGAGTTGATGAATAAAGACGAGAATAAAGATATATTCTCATTGGTATATTATAAATGCATTACTCTCAAACAACGAACACATCAAAAACCTTCAACTATGAACTATGATGAACCAGTCGTTCTTTGAATCAATTATAAATTTTACTATAAACATCGAGATAATGTTGATTTAATTTAAAATAAAGATGGTTTGCCTGGTTTCACAAAATGATATGTTACAATGCTAAACACCTTACCTAATAAGCAAAGGTGGTCTAACATTCTAATATTTTTAATGATGGATCAACCTTAATCCGAGTTTGTGAAACCAGATATATGTGTATCGTAGATACACTAAGCTTTGTATAGTTTTTTTTGTTAAGTTAGGTAGTACTCCCAAAGTAATCAATAAAGTCTATACCTGACATTTTTAACGAATTCGCAAAGCAATCAACACAATTTACTTATATGAATTTTTGAATACTTTCTTACAAAGTAGGTACCAACCGACACATCTAAAACTTCCCATAACATTAGCATTTTAAATTTGCAGTGGCGGCGTGAAAATGAAAGAACGTTGGGCGGAAGTCGTACAATAGGACACGATTTACGACCATAGCATATACACGGTATTTTTTTAAGATGGGCCATACGACAATGTGAAGGTGTTGAGTTATTTAAAATGGGCCATAGGGAAATTTACATTGCATCAATTGTTTCAGTCGTAGCTTCCTCGCGAATCATCTGCCACAGTGCTACAGAAATTGTTTCTAAATCAACAAATCTATTCGAATCAGATATAAACGTATAAGATTACAATCGGTGCTCGAATTGTTTTCCACCGGTAACCAAACAATATACTCGGCACTGAATAGCTCGCATACCACTCAGCTACGGGCACAGTAGCAAAATGCCTAGGCATTTCGCGAAATGACGATTGCAACAGGCAAAGTGAGAAATGGAACTGGAGTTCACACTGTGCCTGCCTCTCTTTAGGGATTTCGCGAAATGCCTAAACATGCAGCATGCAGGCAAAGTGTGGAATCTGTGGAAAATAACAGAGAATTCTCACTTTGCCTGAATGTTTAGGCATTTCGCGAAATCCCTAAAGAGAGGCAGGCGAAGTGCAATGTCGAGTTCCATTTCTCACTTTGCCTGCTGCATTGGTCATTTCGCAAAATGCCGGATTTCGCAGTTTGCCGGTAACACATGTACACACAGAGTTGTATATACAGTGAGCTTTTTAAATGCGAACATAGGAGTTTGCATGCAATGTATTTTCCCTATGCTCAATTAAAAAAAAACACATCGATCTATGAGATGTGCGCGGTTCACATTCCCAAAACGCGCAATTTGTGTGACTATGAACAGCAATTCATAGTCTTTATGATGAAGAGCACTCGGTAAGATTTTTTTAAAGAAGCCATGTGAGGCCACAGCAACTTTAGGATAAATTTTTCTTAAACTTACGATAACTTGACTTCACATGGCACGCGCTGACGTCACAATTAATTGTGAACCAACCTTCAATTATTTGTAGGTCATGTGCACCTGGTAGTCTACTAATTTGATTTATTCAATACATAAATGAAGAAAATAAGAAAATAAATAACGCAAACAATTACAATAAATGTTCGAAGTGTCCTCCTTGACATTCTAAACAATAACCTAACCGATTTCGTAATTAAATTGGACGGCGGTATTTTTAAAAATGACAGCTGTCAATTGTATCTACTACTCATTTGAACTACTCAATAGATTGATGTGTTTTTTTTTAAATCGAACAGGGAAATTACATTGCATACAAACTCCTATGTTCGCATTTAAAAAAAATTCACTGTATATACATACAACTCTGTGCATATACAATGCCTATAGCAAAGAATACTATAGGTACATTAAAATTCCATATATCGGTTTGCGTGGTTTCGAACTTTCAAAATTATGTGCATCGTCGTAAACTGTATATACAGGGTGGAACCTCTCATACCTGAATGCATAAATAAAAAATGAGTTTCTTTAAAACTGTTAACTTTTCCGCACGAAAGCTAAGGATATGCCCCACCGGCCTGAAAATTAATAGGTGTCTTCTTCAACCAGCAAATAATACACCTGCAAAAATTTACGCAATTGTCCCAGGAGATTTTGAGTTATCGTGGTAACAAACTTTTTTCTGAGATGAAAACAATACTTTACCTACCCATATATAGGTGCGGAAAAGTATAATATACTTATATAAGATCATAATATAGCACGATAAATACAAATCACATACACAAAACCTGACTTAAAAATAGTGTAACGTTATTTATAAATTCGGGTTCGATTTATATCAAGATTTATTAAACAAAACTAAAACACTATAAAAACCGTACAATTTATATCGATTATTATATCACACACACTTCGCAATTTATATTTCCGTGCTCGATCTCGTTCGATAGTAGACTAACTCGATGTTCGGTCCGCAACCATTTACACACGCAAGCAATGTAAGTCCAGTACATTCTCGAATGTTCCTACAACTTCCACTATCGCGCGCGTAGAAAATTCCAGAGAATTCTGGAGCATTTCCGTTACACTGCCCCCTTCTTAATTCTGGACGTCTCGTTCAGAAACTGCGTTAGTATTACTTTTTAATGCCTCGTGTCGGAATCTGCAGTCAGAGCCTGCTCGACAAACACCTTTCTTGAAAAAGTAACAGTCCACAGTTTTGCGGAGGGTCGTCCCCTGTGGGTTGAAGCAGCATACTGTAATTCGAACGCTAGTGTTTCTAAAAATCACTTCGATCATGGTTCGCACTATTTTCCAGTCCAACCCATCTAAACCACAGCCAATCTTCGGGATCGCCAAGCTATTTATGTCATAGTATGCCATGAGTTTCTTTAAGCTTTTTAAAGCAGACCAGAGGTTTTCATAGGTGGGTTTGCCTTCTGACGTTTTCTTTGAAACCAAGTAGAACAAAGAGCGTTGACTATCTTCCAAGCGCAGTACTTTACCCACTCGTGGTCTTTGCTTTAACAACTCGTCCATTCTTCCAAATCTTTTCCGGAATACGGAAGCTATACCTCTACTCCATGCGAAGGTCTTCGGCGACACAATGGGCGATGGAAACGTTAATCGGAAGCTCAAAAATATTTTGACAAATTTCCTGAGTAACGCCAAATCGAGCTTTCTTCCGCTGGGCGTAATTTGACATAAAATCGTTAAAGTTTGGCTCGATCCCAAAGCTGCGTTCCTCTTCTCGAATACCTCTAACTTCTTCGTTGTTGTTGGATCCGGCATATCGTGCGAGTCGATTAATGTGGACAACTTTCGGTTTTCGGTGGTTCATTCTGATACGATATATCACGTCATTTATTTTCTTGATCACCTCATACGGACCTTCCCATTGTCTTTGTAGCTTGGGAGAAAGACCCCTTCGTCTCTGTGGATTGTGCAGCCATACCAGATCTCCAGCTTCAAAAGTTTCATTGACCGAGCGGAGGTTGTATTGATTTTTCATGCGATCGCTGGCAATCTGAATATGACTTCTAGCCAAGTCGTGAATATCGTTCATCTTCGCCTTTAGTTGGTCAACATAATTTTCACCTGCGACATATTCTTCATGGGGTTTACGCCCAAACTCGAGATCACATGGAAGGCGTAGTTCACGACCCAACATAAGGCAGGCAGGAGTCTGACCCGTGGTCTCGTTGACGGCTGATCGATATGCCATAAGGAACAGGTGGAGGTACTGGTCCCAATTTTTCTGATGTTCTGCCACGACCTTTGAAAGATATTTACCCATCGTTCGATTCATTCTCTCCACCATTCCATCTGACTGAGGATGCAAAGGTGTTGTTCTGGTTTTATTGGCTCCTACCAATCGACAAACATCTTGGAACAAAGCCGATTCAAAGTTCCTTCCTTGGTCTGAATGGATTTCTATAGGAACACCAAAACGTGTAAAGAACTCCTTTACCAACACTTCTGCAACTGTTGCTGCCTCTTGGTTTGGAATGGCGTAAGCTTCAGTCCACTTTGTGAAATAATCCATAGCGACTAGGATATATTTATTTCCGCCATCTGTCTCGGGAAACGGTCCTGCGATATCGATAGCAACTCGTTCCATCGGACTACCAACGTTATACTGCCTCATGGGTGCCTTCTTCTTGGAAACTGGTCCGTTTCCAGTAGCACATAACTCACATTTTTGACACCATCGCCGGACATCTTCTTTACGGTTGACCCAATAGAATCGCTCACGTACCCTTTGCAACGTTTTCGTAATACCAAAGTGTCCTCCGGAAGCGCCGTCATGCAATTTTCGCAATACTTCCGACACTTTGCTTCTAGGTACTACTAATTGCAGCGTCGATTCGGTGCCATCTTCACTTTCAAGGGTCCTATACAACAGGTTGTCTTTCAGAGTCAGGCTATTCCATTGGCCCCAATAACTCTTTACTTCAGGACTTGTGGCACTAATGTCTTGCCAGTCTGGTCTTTGTCCGTGGCGCATCCAATTCAGAACAGTTTTTAAACTTGGGTCGTTTTCTTGGGCCGTTTTGATTTCGCTTGGCTTCCATTCCTCACTCTCTACAGTTGTTCGCCGCAGATGGCCCATCTTGTCTTCTATTTTAGAACAATGTGTGCAGTTGTCCTTGCACGGTCTTCTTGACAAAGCGTCTGCATTATTGTGAACTTTTCCAGCCCTGTGTTCAATGTCGTAGTCATATTCCTGAAGACGTTCTAACCATCTTACCACCTGTCCTTCTGGGTTTCGGAACTGCAAGAGCCACTTTAGCGCTGCATGATCTGTCCTTATCAGGAACTTGCGGCCGTAAAGGTACTTATGGAAATGTTCGCATGCCTTTACCACACCCAGGAGCTCTCGCCTAGTCACACAATAATTCCTCTCGGGTTTCGACAGTACTTTGCTGAAATAGGCAATGACTCTTTCCTGTCCGTCTTGCAATTGAGAGAGAACAGCTCCAATGGCGGTGTTACTGGCATCGGTATCTAGCACAAACTTTCCTTCATTTCTGGGGTAGCCAAGGATAGGTGCGCTAGTAAGAGCTTGCCGGAGATGTTCGAAAGCTCTTTGACAGTCTTCACTCCATTCGTACTCATTGCCCTCTTCTGTCAACTTTATTAATGGTTTGGCAATGTTGGCAAATCCTTTCACGAATCGTCTATAATAGGTGCACAAACCGAGGAAACTTCGAATCTCGTGCTTGTTCTCAGGAATCGGCCACTCTTGAATCGCTATAATCTTCTCTGGGTCAGCTGTAACACCATCACGAGATACGATGTGCCCCAAATATTTAACTTCTTTTTGGAACATAAAGCATTTCTTGGGACTTAGTTTTAAATTGGCCTCTCGTAATCGTCCAAACACCTCTCTCAGGTTCTTTAGGTGTTCTTCAAAAGTTTTTCCTACGACAATTACATCATCCAAATATACCAGACATGTCTGCCACGTTAGTCCCCTTAGAACTGCTTCCATAAGTCTCTCAAACGTCGCGGGGGCATTACACAATCCGAAAGGCATTACTGTGAATTGCCAAAGTCCAGAGCCTATAGAAAACGCGGTCTTCTCTCGGTCTGTCGATTCCATCCCCACTTGCCAATAACCACTCTTTAGATCGAGTGTGGAAAACCATTGGGCTCCAGATAAAGTGTCCAAGGTGTCGTCTATTCTTGGCAGTGGATAGCTATCTTTCTTGGTGACCGAATTTAACAGACGGTAGTCAACGCAAAATCTTGTGGAGCCATCCTTCTTCTTTACAAGCACTATCGGTGATGACCAAGGACTATTCGATGGCTCGATGACACCTTGTTTTCTCATGTCTCTAATAATCTCTTCCGCTTCGTCTCGTTTAGCCAATGGGAGTCGCCTTGGCTGTTGTCTAATCGGTTGGGAATTGCCAGTATTTATTTTATGGGTGACTATGCTTGTCTTGCCCTTGTCCTGGTCGTTTACCGCGAACACATCCCGAAATTCCACAAGCATATTTTTCACCTTTTGTCGTTGTCTATTGTCCAAATCTGGGGTGTTTTTAATGACCATATCTATCAGCTCTCTTGGATACTTTCCTTTAGATAGATTTTCCGATTTTACAGAGCGAATAGCCGAGATGGGCACACACTGTCCAACTACAGTTCGTTTGCTTAGCTTAACAGGACTATCTTTCAAATTCATAATTCGAATCGGAACGCCATTTTGAACTTTTACCAGAGCCCTAGCCACTAGAAATTCCTTTTCGTTTAGTGCTTCGACTATCCGTAGGCTTCCCTGGCGACAATATCCATCTAAAGTGGCCATTATAATTTTTTCACTAAGTCCGGGTATAATGACGTCATGAGTGGTTAACAGGCGGATAACATCTTCTTTGTCTTCATGGAAAGGGAGTTCTTCATCGCCGACCTTTAACACGCCCTTTTTCACGTCTAACACAGCTCCGAGTTTCTTAAGAAGATCCATCCCCAAGATGAATTGATCAGAAATATCAGCAATTAGCACCTGGTGATTGATGGTGGTCTTTCCGATGGTGACAGACATTTGTATTTCTCCGTGCGTTTTTATTCTTTCACCAGTTGCTGTTTTTAACTGCACGGTCGAAGATGAGATCCGAGAATGATTCTTCAATAACTCTGGTCTTGCAATAGTTCTTGTTGCACCTGTGTCTACTAGCAAGGATCTGTCTTCTCCATTAACTCGGCCGTCGATGTACAGACTCAGAACTTTTCCAGACGACGTAATGTTTACAGTGAAGATCGGGGCTTTGTTTCTGCAGGTCGACGATAGCCCCTTCCTGTCGACCTTTCTTAGTTTTCCGACTGCTGTAATGGTTTTTGGCAGTTGCGGCGAACGTGTCCAATCTCGCCGCAATTCCAACATCGTGGTTCACGTTTCTTTGCCAGTGACTGTATTGCTTTATTGACCTTTTCTTCCACTACTTTACTGACCTTTTCTTCAAAACTTTCAGAGCCACCTTCCTCTTCGATGGTTCTTACCCGGCTCTCACTGCGAGGTTCCACCATACGTACTCGCGCACTTCCATGACTAGCTTTCTTGGCGGCTTCGAATTCTAACGCATGGGCCAAAGCTTTCTCAATTTTGTCGTGCCTAGCCAGTCTCAAAGCCTGCTGGGCATCTCCATCACGAACGGCATCGATAAATGTTTGTACAGCCAGTTGATCAAGAAAGCTCTCCGGTGCCGTAGGGTATGCCAATCGAATCAGTCTAGCGATGTCCGCTTCAAGTTCCTGCAAACTTTCTCCAGGTTTCTGCATTCGGTTCTTGACTTGGGCATAGTAAACTTGCTGAAGGTGTTTATCGCCATATCGCATTTCGAGTCGCGCTACTATTTGTTGGAAGTTCTGTTGATCCTCGGGGATAGTCCGCAACACATCCAGAGCATCTCCTCTCAGAGCAAGAATCAGGGCTGTAGTTTTGTCTTGAAGAGTCCATTTATTTGCCGCAGCCGCTGCTTCAAACTGTCGAACGTACGTGGTCCAAGGAATCTTACCATCAAAAGTAGGTGGCTTTACTCGGGCTTGCTGAACGTCGCCTTCTACTCTTGTATTTGTTTCTGGGTCGACCTTCTTGTAATGAGTAGACTGTGGCACCTCAAGAAGACGGTCCATCAGTAATTCATCTGGGGCACTACTAGTACGCTCTTCCGTAGTCAGTCGCAAGAATTGCTCGCGCAGCTCTTCATACTTGTGCTCAATCTCAACGAATGTTGCTTTAAATGTTTTGGAAACTTCCGTAATTCTATCTTCAACTTTTTCTTCGATAATCTTTCTAGAATTTTCTTCCAACTTCTCGAACTTCTCTTGAATATTTTTAGAATTTTCTTCATTAATCCTTCTAGAATTTTCTTCCAACTTCTCGAACTTCTCTTGAATATTTCTAGAATTTTCTTCATTAATCTTTCTAGAATTTTCTTCCATTTTCTCGAACTTCTCTTGAATATTTCTAGAATTTTCTTCAAAATTTCTAGAATTTTCTTCAAAATTTCTAGAATTTTCTTCCAACTTCTCTTGGTTGCTTTTCATTTCTTGTTGCAACACCTGTTGGCCATTTTGGATTTGCTGGAGCAAATTGAGCATCGTTTCTTCCATTTTAGCGGCAGCAGATCTTGTTACAGGCATACACAAGCACAAGCACTTAATTTAATCTTACTTTTAATTAATTTAATTAATTCCACACCTGACACCAATGTAACGTTATTTATAAATTCGGGTTCGATTTATATCAAGATTTATTAAACAAAACTAAAACACTATAAAAACCGTACAATTTATATCGATTATTATATCACACACACTTCGCAATTTATATTTCCGTGCTCGATCTCGTTCGATAGTAGACTAACTCGATGTTCGGTCCGCAACCATTTACACACGCAAGCAATGTAAGTCCAGTACATTCTCGAATGTTCCTACAACTTCCACTATCGCGCGCGTAGAAAATTCCAGAGAATTCTGGAGCATTTCCGTTACAATAGGTTCAAGCAAAGAGTAACTAATAAGTATTCTTTGGTTCAAGTAAAGTTTTCGTCTCGTAGAGTTTCAGTAAAGCAATCAGTTTGTTGAGGTAGCTGTCGCAGTGGCTTTTGGGGGCTTTGTTCAAGACTAGCACGCACATCTTCTACTACCACCTCGTTAACAACCAATTGGTCTCAGATTTTGCATAAACATGCATTCAGTGGTGCCAAGTAAAACTGTTGAAAATTGCGGGGGGGGGGGGGGTTCTACCTTCCATGGTATTCTATGAAACATTTCATCGACATAAATTCGTTGCGACTCTTTTTCGAGAAATTAATCTTATCTAACGTGGTATTCTAATTTGAAATGGACCTTTTTCTACCAACTACCGCCTTTGCTTGGGTTATTGATGGAGATACCAGAGGTGGGTAAAATGCATTTAAATAAGTATTTAAAATGGAAAATGCAAAATGTATTCAGATATTGTATTTAAAATGTAAAATGCAAAATGGTTTTTGTACATTTATTTAAAATACAAAATAGAAAATAGGTATTTGAAATAACATTTCGAATACAAAATGGTTTTACAATTTATTTATTTGCAATAAAATTTACATTAGCTTTAATTATTAAAAGTTTTTCAAATGTATCATCATTCATGCATCGACGTTTTGGTCGCATGATTATCCCTGCGTATGAAAACAGCCTTTCAACAGGAGCCGATGACGGAAGTGGTGTGTTGTATTTTATAAATAAAATTTTGATGTTAGGAAATTGATCCAACATTGACAAATTTCTAAGTGGACTCTGAAGATATTGAAGGGCTTCAAGCTGTAATCCATTATCTAAATCTGAAGAGCCAGGGCTATCTGTAGAAGAATCGTGGAACAAAAAATATTTGTCATCAAGCACGTTCATTTCTTTATTTTTGCCGTTGTCTTCATTCTCAGCTGTAGTTATTACTCTTAATTCATTTAGTATAGCAAGTCTTTGAATTGAGTTTTATATTCACTCGGTGCCCAACGTAATTTAAAAAGGGGATGAGTCATTGTAGCACGTTTTGTGCAAGGAAGCGTTTTGATACACTTCTTTACCACATATCACCATTTTTAGTTTCTTTCCACAGATCACATTTGCAGGTAAACCAGAAAAACTTTGAATCGAATCTATACTACGTTATTTTAAATAGAAAATAGTTATACTGATTTATTTAAAATAGAAAATGATTTTATCTACAGTATTTAAAATACAAAATATAAAATGGCGTTTTCTATTTTAAATACGTATTTCAAATAAATTCATTCGAAATAGGTACCCACCTCTGGGAGATACTACAGTATTTTGTGAGCTCGTAGTGCTGTATAGGTTTTTGCGTTTGGGTTGAATACGAGTGGGTTGTGATAACGTGGTGTGTTTCTGTGAAGAAGGAGTTTTGTGTTTTTTAAATGTGCTAGGGCGTGTAACTTTATTGGATGGACCTGTCTTTGTAGTGCATGTTGCGTTACTTGTATTTATGGTGTTTCTTTGTTCTTATTATTATTATTATGATAAATGATCGCTCTGATTCTTCGGGAGCATGCTGTATATAACTATAGAATATCAAAATCTAGGAGGCGTGGTCAGAAGCACGGTCAGAATCCAGTCAGCTGATACTGTTTTGACATTTTTACGATATAATCCATCAACCTCAAAATTTACCAACAAAATTGTATGTGTGATTGTTCAGTGTGCATTGCTATTTTAAAAAAAGTGCACAGATCTACACGATGCGGTTTGCAGTAAGTCCCTCCAAAGGTTTCTAATGCAATCTCAAACAAGATGTGTTTTTGTTCACTTGTTTCATTTGAAAAAATACATCCCCAAAACCATTCACAGTTTAGGTCGTATTTGTAAATTTCGAAAAGTATTCTTAAATCCTTTTAGTTTAATTCGTATAAAATACAAATACTTCTCAATTATCCACCTTGAAACAGTGGACCTCGCAATGCAATCTCAAAAATGCGTCGTCTGTAATAAAGTTTCACTCACAGAATCTCCTACTAAACAAGCTCGCAATGTTGCTTCTAGTAGCAATACTACTTCGGTCTGTGGATTGCAGAAAAAAGAAGAAAAATCTGGTGGATGCATCTGCGAGGAAAGTATAAAATTAGTTAATGACTGTAATTCCAAACGCAAATCCATTTCCTTCTCTGGTCAAAAGAAAAGTGTGTACAAAGTTTTAGATAATGCGTTACAACCTTTGAGTGACAGCAGTCGCAGTTTTACACATATGCCTCAAATCCACACGAATTTCGTTCAACCTTCTCCCAATTGTCTAAGTATTGGGCAAACAACTTTCGTTTTACCTCCACGCATCCTAAATTTTGTGCCTATTCCCTTAAATAATATCTTGCATCATTCGTTTTTTAATCCGCAAATTCAACATCGTGTGTACAGGTCTAGTGCAGCCGATCACAGCAATACCACCAAATGTAAGTACCTAAACTTTACTTTTAATTTAAGCATTGTTAAGGAGGTCTAACTCAACTCCAAGTATCCAGCTATGTGTTTCGCTCTCGCCTTCACCTTAGTGAAATAGGATTCGAAATTATTAATTGCAGACTTGGAGTTAAGTTTGAGATTAACCGAAGCAAAGACTAATTAATAATTTTTTTTGCTCTTAAAGCTTAATTTAAAGTTTGGTGTCTCATATGTCAGGTGACACAGTAAAAGTCAAAAGATAAGATTTATCCTCATTTTGTCTCCTGCACTTATCTGCTCTGATAAAATAGGCAAGCAATAATTAGGATATCACAGTTTAAATAATAGATGGAATAGTTCTCGGAATAGTTTCACCTCGAGTTTAACAGACAATCCAAAATCACATACTTACTTATCTTTCCTAATCTCTTACCTCGTCTCTTACAAATTAAATGGAACCTTCCATTCTCAGAAAAATAATTTATTAAGGGGCAGAGCAAAGCTTTTTAGGGGAGTCGATGGTGTCTGTCTCCGCTAACATTACGTTGAAAATCTAGAAATTGTGAAAAATTTTTTATGAATTTCTGTAAATATTTAGAAAAATCTTTCTCTAGTCTCTAGTCTAGAAATTTTCAAAACCTTGCTACAAATTTTCTTAGAAGCATCAATACAAATATTAGAAAGAACTGTAACACTCCTTAGACAGCATTCTCGAACTCGAAAATACTCTATGTATATTTCTGGAAGCCCCTTTTGGAACCATCTTTGAAAATCCTTTAGGAATCTTAAAACAAGGCAACTGTAGAACTTTGGTGTCCACTACTAGCATTTTGCAGAAATTTTCTAGAATTTTTTTAGAATTTTTCTAGAATTTTTTTAGAACTTTTCTAGAATTTTCGTAGTGTAGGAAGTATACACCATTATAATACATACAAGAGAAAAAGAGAAAATATTACCTAATTTATAAACATCATTATACGTTTTATAAAATCACCCTATGACCTCTAAATTGTATAATTTGCTACCTGATGACCTAACAAACTTTGATGTTAAACAATTGAAACCTCTCATTAAGACTATTCTCCCGAGTATTCTCCAGTAAAATGCTATTTATTCCGTACAACTGTTTATCCAGTTTTGTACTTCTGTAGGCTAGTTTGATACGAGGTTTGATATGATTACCCTCGTGATTACCCTCGTGATTAGCATAATATACATTTGTCCAATTTGTTATACTATTTGTTTAATTTACACTTATGACGTATGGATAATTGTGATTACGATTTTACGATTAAATTATATTTTTTTGAAATTTTTTTTCCGAACACAATTATTATTTATACAATTTTTAGAGTTTTTTTGAATTTTAGTGTACACAAAATTTGAAGTGGTTTACCCCTCGTCACATGCTACAAGTTTTTTTAGCAATATTACTAGGAACGAGGCTAGGAATATTTTTGGAAAGATTATCTTGGTAACATCCTCAGGAAACGTCTTAGAAGGTTTTTTTAGAAATCCTAGTAGAAATTCATCATGGAAACTTTTTTAAAATCCTTGTATTTAAGTAGTGATTTTACTGGAAGTTTTGAAAATATTTTAGAAATCTTAGAACCTTCTTAGAAACGTCCTTTAAACACGAGTTCGAAATCGTTTTCAAAATTTGGTGAAACTGTTATTGCAAAACAAAAATAATTTTAAAGGCCAACTTGAAAATTGTCCTAAAAATTATATAGAAAACACGAGAGAAAACAATAGAAATCTAAGAAGGATTACAAATCCTTTTGAAACTATCCTGGAAAGATCGGGTTAGAAAACTTTAGGATTCTTAGAAATATCGGTTTCTTAAGAACCTCAAACGGTTTCTCTTTTTAGATATTTTTCTTGAACCTTGCTTTGAAACCCTCTTTGAAAAGGAGGAGCTGCTCACATCACACACCACCTCGCACACCACTATGTACCGGATGATTCTATCTGTAACGGTTCATTTTCGTATCTAATTTAATCCACTTTTCTTATCTAATTCGTTCCTCTTAGTAATACTATACACCTTGACTTCTATGTGTTGTGGGTTGCTCTCTAATTTTCAGTTAGTGCTTTTCCGTTTTCGAACTTTCTTTCTTGTATTCTTTTCTTGATAAGCTAATTTCCTTCTGATAACATTCTTTTCGGTGATTTTCCTGTTTCCTGCGGACATTTTTTGGCAAGTGCACATTTTGTAATCTGAGAGTGATTTACCAATTTCCTGAGCTATTACCAATCTTCATACGAAGGAATATTCAAGAATTTGGGCCAGACAAATAGAATAGCTACCCGTATTTAGTCGGAGGTTTTTTTTGGTTGCCTCAATTGGGTAGTATTCCTTATCGCCTTATGCGGACCTAAAATCGCTTAATCTTCAGCTCGCCTACCAACTTAGAGGTTCGTGCTTACCTTTTAGTCCCGTGTCTATAGCAATATAATCTTTTAGCTTCTTCGGATATGTGAAATTTGGGAGCCGTATCTGTTCCGATTTTACTTCAAACTTGTTTTCTACGTGTTGTCGCTGCCCGATTTATGTTCTTCGTTTGTGTCGCCGTGTTCAGCCGTGATATCGACCTGTCTTTGGACGCCTACGCCAACTTCAGTTCCCGCACCACCAGAGCCACTTAGGGGTACATTCAAGGAGCCCAAAGGTCAGCGTTGTGTGTGCTGTACACTATTATTTGTTGACCTACATTAGTGAAGATGGTTTGACCCCCTACACCTACTTACTTTCCTTATCCTTGCTTTCTTAATTCCTTCCAATTTTTTTTTCCCTTCCCCGTGTATCGAGAACTTCCTAATTCCCTCTCTGTAAATCCTAAGTTACTTGTTGTTGTTGTGTTATTTAAATTTTGTGCACTAAAACTTTATTATGATTTGATTATAATTTTTTTTTGCGGTTAGGTACCGAATTTGACAGAAAGTCAGAAGTGTAGTAGAGCCACTGATAAATCGGTGGTTGAGCACAGCTCACGAAAGTAGTTTTTTTATCTTGTTCTTATTAGTTCACATGTTAATTAACTTGCATTTTTTTTTTTAATTGTATTTTGTTTTTGTGAAACCGGACACAAGGTAAGTTGCTTGAATTGTAGAATACCCAAGGTAAGGTACATATGAACGGGGGGTTTATTGATACAGAAAGGCCTTTCCCCAAATTACCCTCTTGCTTCAAGTCAACTGAACTATTCAATTACCACTCTGCACCTACTCACTTATTTAAAAAATTATTACTACGTTTCATACAGACTTGTGAACGGTTGGTTACCTTTTTTTTTTATTTCCCTCAAATATTTTGTCAGTTTTTTTCATTTGATATTGTTGAATTTATTTAATTCTTACCATTACGTGCGGTTATTGATTTTCAAATATATGCTTCTGCTTTCCTCCTCCTTATCTTTTGTTTTCTTGCGTGTTATATTGTCCCCTTTCTTAGCTTACTGGCTGATCACGACTCTACATCCTGCTTGTGAAGCGAGGGCAGGATCAACTCAGATTTGCTGGCGGAGATTAGTTAAGCTTCTGGCGCCCTATTTAGTAACTTCTAGATTTACCCTCGACCTATCCGACGAGCGAGCCGAAGCAAATCCTTGCACCATCGCCGGAAGTTTTTAGTGTGAATTTCAATTGTTTCTTCTATTGTCCGTCCGTGGCATATCTCAATTGGTAAAAATTTAATATGACGTCCATAAATAAGGAGTAACCTGTAGCTTCTCCATCTAGCGTGTTATGGAAATTCTCATAACAAATTCAGATTCTCTCAAAAAAGTTCCCATTACTTATGAGATACGGGGGAAAATAAAAAAATTATCAATGACTAAGTAGGTATATTTTGTTAGTTAAAAGAGATACAGAAAAATGTTTTATACAAAAGCGAGTACAAAAGTTCAGTTATAATGATTTTTGAATGATCCGCCGTTTTTCAGAATAACTATGTGATCAGGTAAAAAGGTTACCGGACCTAATTTCATTTTTTTGAAATGCAATAAGTAACTGTATATTTTATTCTAAAAAAAAGCATATTAATTTTCTTTTCAAAAATATAGCACACATAAAAGAAAAATTCCAAAAAATGTAAACAACATTCAAAAACGTTAAGGGAAATAAAAATTCAGTATTTTTTGAACCACTGAAGCTTTTTTGAATTATTTTATTTTTTTTTGAAAATGTTTTAGTTTTTAAATTGGTTTGAATCACTTGGATCTTTTGTTAATATCGTCCATGGGGCGTTACCTATATTTAAAAAAAATTAATATGCTATTTTTTAGATTACAAAACTATACAGGGTGTTTTTATTTTTTTACTGAAGTTATTTAAAAAGATGTTTCATAATAAATTTATATAACTTTATTATGGCCACTTTTTTCCCTCCACAAGATGCTACTTTTAAATTTTAAGTTTGACGTTTCGTCGCCAGTCTACCATCATCAACTTTGTTTTTTCTTATGGAAGTAATGTTTACATTTTGTGTCATTTGATAGAAAATTTTTTTTTATTTCAAAAATGTAAACATCACTATCTTTTAATAAGAAATAACGCTATTAATTCCTAAAAACACAAGAAATTACTCACGTACATTACCCAAGACAAAGTTTTCTAAGCAAAAAAAGATAATTTAACCTCATTAAAAAAAATTGTGATGCTACATTGCTATACTACTTTCTTGATAGTACTAACAATTACGGAGTTTACGTATCATGCAGCCCTTGCAGACAGTTAATAATCATCCATCATACCGAAATCGTGCACAGTTGATACGGAATTACGCTTGCGCAAAACAATATTTTGAATACGTCGTTAGTTTTACTTATGTTTGTAGTGTTTCATTTAAATATCTTCATAAATAAAAAATTAAAAAGGTTACCTTTCCATTTGCGTTAAACCAAGTTTTTGACATTGCGCATGCTCAAAATCAAAAATATCGGTACGCACGAGATTCTTGCACCAAGCCATTTCAAATGAGACCATATCGCCAAAATCGCTTAGGTCGTGTGATGGACGGACGGACGACACAGTGTAGCCGTAGGGTTGCCATCTCAAAACTCTGCCAACTAGGATAGGAAGCGTGAAAACCCCGGATTTAGGGATTATAAACCCGGACATATCAACTGAATTTGATAAAAAAAATATTGTCTAAAGAAATAGTCTTTGAAATTGTACTTTATTTTTATCACTGACTAGAATGTTTCAATATTCAATAAATTCCTTTCTTTGGTCCATTGTTATGTCACTAGTGAACATTTTCTTTCAACGCACTAGGCAATTTTCAATAACTCCAAGTATAAATGAGGATTCGGTGTTTTAAAAAATTGTAACCAAAGCTGATTGGCGCTTAAAAGTTTTGTTGGCTTACATTTTGACAGAAACTCATAGATGCCTCAGTAGCTTAAAACCCAGATTACCAATGAAACCCCGCCCGGACGCTCCCCGGACGCCCCCTAAACTAGGACAAATCCGGGGAAACCCGGACGGATGGCAACCCTTAAGTGTAGGCAATAGCGAGGGCAATAGCGTTTTTTCACTTTGCGGAAAATACGCTAAAAACACTTTCTCATTGCCACTATTTGAGCTCTACAAGGTAGCATTGTGAAATTTTCAATACATTTCATACTGTAGCATAGTAGCGTTTTTTATTACAAATGCAACGATGTACGGTACACAAAAAATTGAAAACCATTGGTTTCAACAGGATGGATGGATGGTGTTAGGCGCGGGTACACCATATTGTTGAAATCACTAGTTTGAATTTTTGTTTTTTTTTGTGCCGTATGTACTTTTTTATGGGCCGTATATTGATGATGATTTTTTGAAGAACGTCGGGTACATCTTAGAAATATTTGAAATCATTATTTTAAGTCGTAGAAATTTCGATAAAAAGTCATAACAAACATTCCAGAAAATATTTTTGCAAATCTTCCGAGAAATTTTGCAAAACTTGTATGATTGCGCTTTTCTACATGTCGCATCTTTTCAGCGAGCCAGCAAGACAGGCAGCAGGTATGGTCACTGAGAAAACTGCAACATACAACTTTGGGAAAATCGCTAGCGAAGAAACCGATACCCACAAAGAGCTGTACGTTCAAAGTAATGTCATACAACGTGCTTGCGCAAGAATTACTCGAGTCACATCCTTTCCTATACACTTACCACAATCCTAACGCCTTGAAATGGGATCAGCGCTGGTATTCGATACTAGGAGAGATCAAGTTTCATAATGCAGATGTAAGTAGGTATTACTGGTTTTGTTTCGCCGCCATTATTTCAAAGCTTTTTAGATTATGTGTCTGCAAGAAGTGCAAGTTTCGCATTTACAACAATATACGAAGGACCTCGGCGCATTAGGTAGATTGCCTTCAATTGTTTATCTTTTCTTTGCTAACTATTGCGGCAGGTTATAAGGGCATATACAAACAACGTACCGGTATTAGACGAGATGGCTGTGCAATTTACTATAAGGAATCCTTACTCAATTTAGTGGAATATGTGACGATCGAATTTAATCAGAACAATATTTGGGTATTAGACAGAGATAATGTGGCCATTGTGGCTAAATTTGCGCCTAAAAATGATGACCAGAATGAGTTTGTGGTGGCCACGACACATTTATTGTATAATCGAAAAAGGGAGGATGTAAGACTGGCACAGACGCAAGTGTTGTTAGCTGAAATCGATCGGATTGCTTACAAGTATGATCCTAAGAGGTGAGTTCTATGTTAACATAAAACCAAAAAGTCTGAAGAGATTTAATTAACATGATATAAATATATAGCAATGAAGTTACACAGATTGTGGTGTGTTGGCAATTTTTAGTTTTAGTTTAGCCAAACTCCTTCATAGGTACTGATACAAATATTAGTTAACCCTTTAATTTAGTACTCTTTGTTTTTACTATATTTTTGTGCAGGTCAACGGATCACTTACCAGTTATTATCACGGGAGATTTTAATCTAACACCCAAGTCGCCTGTGTACCAATTTTTAACACGTGGAAGATTGAAATATGAGCATTTGTCCAATAGAACATTGTCACAAGAACAATCACAGTACTCAAATGTAACAGGAAAAACTTTAATACCAGCCTTGCTACGTATTACAGGTTAAGTATGATACACCCTTTCTGTGTTATTTAGCAATTTAGAACCACTTCATTTTCACTCCACAGTATGATTAAAGTCCGTCACATTAATAAACTTATATTAGATTTTTAACTGGAAATCAATCTTTCAGAGAGGTAGATGGCGCTAGGTAGAGTACATCTGCGGGAATTGAAGTTATTTTTTTTATCATTTTAAGCTTTGTCTCCTCCTAGAAGCTGGACATCCAAGATCCTAACTTGACCTCAAACTGATACCAGACTGTTCATTTAATACACACCACAAATTTATTCGATAATTACTATAGTAAAAAGTGGCGACAGTGCCAGTGACAAATACCACGCTACAAGCGCTTGATTGCAACACATTAAAGTTTAATCTTAATTACACGTCAATAATCCAAATAATAAACTGCGACGTCTAATCCAAAAAGACGCACAAATCAATATGACAAGAACAAATTATTATCACTTGGAAGATCCTCTTCTTTACCACGCAAACACTTAACTTCTTTTAAAATCGAACTTGACTATTTTTTTTCAACACGACGTCTAAGATGCCACGGGCATAATCACGACTTCAAACACACCGGCCGAAAACACGGCGGCGGCGGCTAAAAGGCCACAGGCGAACGGCAAAGGTAACCGACCACCTTAAAACACTTCCTCTTCTATTTAACACATTTCGCTCTCTTGTCCCATCTTGGATTCCACCTATTAATTTAGTTCAAATAAAAAATGTTCTTATCTAAACGCGCATCTGCGACAAACATCTGTTTACAAAATTAATTAACTTTTGGCGATAAGCACAACTTTCATCTACGAAAGGAGACAAACATTTACTCAAATTGCTATATTATTTAAAAAAGTAAAAAGGTTTTTGCCCTAAGGCGAGTAACTTCAGCGCATTTTCCATGAATGATCAGTACTTCCCAAAAGGCCATAGCTATGTGCGCTGTGATTTTCTTTACTAGATGGTTAAAATTTCAAGGAAATATCTTTATAAATAAAGACATTGGCACTAACTGCGCATGCGCACATCTAATTTTTGCAAAATCAATTCTTTGCCTTTTTTTGATTAAAATTTCATAAAGATATCTCGATAAATAACAGTTGATATTGCGCATTAATCTGAGTTTACAATATGCGATAGGTTTGCTTACACTAAAAGTAACTTTGGTTAAAATTTCAGTCTGCTGCGCATGCGCACATTTGATTTTTACTATTAGCGATATGTTTACCTTCACCAGAAATATCTGTGGTTAAAATTTCAACAAAATATATTAATAAATAAGAAAGTTGACGTTGCGCAGCCTGCGCAAGCGCACATTAATCTGATGTTTACAATATGCGGTACGTTTGCTTACACTAAAAGCATCTTTGGGTAAAATGGCAAAGAAATACCTCCATAAATAAGAAAGTTGCCATTGCGCATGCGCACAACTGATTTTTACCTTGTCTGGTATTTTTGATAAATATCAAATTTTTCCTCTTGAGATCAGATATGCCAACCATAAAACCCACGTTTTCAAACGGTTTTTCGCAAATAACTCGAAAAGTATTTTATTGAAAATAGCTATTTGTGTATTAAGAGCGCAAAATGATATATTGTCGATTGAAAGAGACAGTTGACGCGCGACGAAGGAGCGCGGCAATCTCTTGAAATCGACAATCAATTTGCGCTCGAATTACACACAAGGTTTTTTCTACAATCGAGCAGTTCACATATTTCCAAAAACTTAAATTTTTCACTCAAATCATTTTAATCTTATGCCCAAATGAAAGATGTCATTTACGCGTTGTCATTGGATACTCTGAGCAATGCATATTTGATTTATAGTTAATAATTGGGAGAGCGAGCGTTTTTTCTATTTTGTCGCTAAAGTGACATTCCTCGAAAAAGATGACGTTTGCGTTGTCAAATACGAGCGCAAATGCCTACTTTGGATATCGATTGTAGAAAAAATTATTTTTAGTAAAAATTTAGCCTAGAAAAAACAATAAGAATGGTGGGTTTATGGTGTCTGTAGACGAAATACAAGTCTTGTTGAAGATTAGAATTAGAACCTGTTGTGCTCGGAAAAACTTTTTTTAATAGAGGTCTAGAGACAATTTGAACTTGTAGCAAACATTTTCAAACTTCAAACAGTTTTATCCTTCAGAAAACAAATAACGCAAATTCTAGAAAAGCAAAACTAAGGACTTTCAACCGATCAAACTTCTAAAGCATATTGATTAATAATGATGAGAAGTGACATTAGTGTATTTTTTTAGATAATTGCCAGCATCATGACTTGGTTGAAAAACGTAATCGAGGGGTCGGAGATTTGAGTCGTGATGAAGAATTAAAGCTCATAAGTTTGCAACACTCTGAAAGAAAATTGGAGAATAGAAGTAGAGTTATGATATCTGAAGACATGTTTTCCACTGGAACTTTGTCACATGACTTGAGACTAAGGTCCGCGTATGTCCATAATCATGGATATGATTCCGAAGCAACAACTTACCAAAACGACTGGGTTACAGTTGATTATATATTTTACAGGTAATACACAACGGGTACATTAAAAATGTTACATATAAAAAGCATTTTGGTAATCGTTGGGGCTGGTCATCTTAGATGTGCAGACTCAATGTCAAGTTGGTTTGTTTCTTTTTTAATGTTTCAAAGACATAAATCATGTTTCGCTCATCCAAGTCATAAATCTTTTGAATTGTCAATCCACCTGTACGTATTCAATCAAAAGTAGTTTAATACACTAACTCTTTTGCAGTGGAGACAGTGTGGAAACGCAAAGGCGAAGTGAAGATCGCTTGAAACTCGTGTCACGTTATACGCTTCCAATAACTAGTAAACTAGAAGGGATGAAAATACCAAATATGGCTCTTGGGTCTGATCACTTGTCATTAGTTGTGATATTTAGATTGGATCCATAATTTCAAGTGGAAATATAACAATACTTATTCAAATGTAAAAAAAGATGTTTTTTGAAGAAAGTTGAGTTGAGTTGATTTAACAGATGAAATTTGTGTTATATTTTTAAACTGTTACCATATTAAAGTATAAATTTACGCATTTGTTTAGTTATTTAATGACATTGAACGCATTTTTCAACAGGGATCTGGTTAAATCTAATTCTAAAATGAGTATTATTGTATTGGATTTCTCAAAAATTTGTGCATCAGCGTAGCGTAGGTATACAGGGTGGAACCTCGCAACCAACCTCAAAATTTTCATTTTCAATTTTTTATAGAATACCAGTACCAAACGCCCTTTGGCGCTTTATTTCGAATCTTACGCAAAGCGTTTTTGTAGAGTTCATAAAGACTCAACATTTTTGTATATTTAACATTTTTTGCTACAAAGTTTAGTTTTTGAGAACGAAAATCAAAAAATTGTTTTGTAGGGCTATCAAGACATCTTTTTTGTATTTAACAATTTTCGCGATAGTGCTTACTTTGCAAGAGAAATACAAATTCTCAAAGCAGTTGGCAGATTTTTTTTGGTTCTCAAAATGCAGGTTACTTTAACGTTTAACCACAAGAGGCCCTGTGTTTCTTTGAAAATTAAGACCTAGTTAACATAAAAGAAAAGGTTTAGTTGACATGTTATTCCTGGACTCTAAAACACTGCAAATAAGAATAGTGTAGTGTAGAAACGTATTTCAAAATTCTGGGCAAACATGATACCAATATGCTTTTTTTTTTTTTTTTTTTTTTTTTTTTGAGTTGGATCCATCGTTCCTCGAAATGGGGGTTGAAATATATTATGTTATCAAAAATCTCTAAACCTTCCCCATATAGTTTTATTCGTTGAAGTTTTTAAAAATAACAGCGACTATAGTTTCGGCGTACTGCCATCATCAGGCGATGTGAAAGTTAACAGGAAAACGGTAAATTACAAACGTTGAAGACGGATAAGACGAACATGTTGTTTTTTTAATTATTAACTGGCCGAAGCCAAGTGAAAAACCTGAAGGGTGGTTAAAACGGAAAGGTTGTCCTAAGTTTCAAGACGAATTAATTATCAAGCCTTGTTAAGACAACCAACCGGGGGGTTGAATTTTTACATTAAAGTTGAAATTTGGGTTAACACATTTCAAAAGAACGGGGGGGAAAAAATAAACTTATAAAAGTATTGAAACTATTAAGATGACTACATATTTAAATTATTTAAGTAAAGTTTAAATTCGAGATCATGCAGACGGCATGTCTCGAAATGATTGACAATCAATCATTTCGAGACATGCCGTCTGCATGATCTCGAATTTAAACTTTACTTAAATAATTTAAATATGTAGTCATCTTAATAGTTTCAATACTTTTATAAGTTTATTTTTTCCCCCCCGTTCTTTTGAAATGTGTTAACCCAAATTTCAACTTTAATGTAAAAATTCAACCCCCCGGTTGGTTGTCTTAACAAGGCTTGATAATTAATTCGTCTTGAAACTTAGGACAACCTTTCCGTTTTAACCACCCTTCAGGTTTTTCACTTGGCTTCGGCCAGTTAATAATTAAAAAAACAACATGTTCGTCTTATCCGTCTTCAACGTTTGTAATTTACCGTTTTCCTGTTAACTTTCACATCGCCTGATGATGGCAGTACGCCGAAACTATAGTCGCTGTTATTTTTAAAAACTTCAACGAATAAAACTATATGGGGAAGGTTTAGAGATTTTTGATAACATAATATACCAATATGCATTAAACACTGTACGGGGTATTGATTACCCAATCAACATGTCTGTTATTGTCATGCAGGTACATTAAATGTCAACGTTGTAGGTGTGATGTCTTAATGTATCTTAAAAAAACAGTGGTGTAGGTACCAGAGGTACAAACAAAATATTTTATCTTCGAAATGCCCATATTTTTCTGAATTCAAATGGTGGTTATGTTACTTACTTGCATTTTGGACAATTATTGGCATCAAAGTCAGCGATGAAATGAATTATACAGGGTATTGCAGCAGTGCGTCTGTCTTTTCTAGCATGTAGAAAATATTAAAAAAATCTTTTGTGCAAATGTCAAGATCGTTGCGCATCTACAGAAATTATTTTTGAATGTACAGGGTCAATAAATAACTGATTTTCTTAAATAGAACAGCCTGTATATTTTTACTAGTTTCAAGGTCATTCGTTACCTTTTGCATCAAACCCTATGAATAAATTCTTTATTCATTGGTCAAACCTATTCACCATTTGTTTTTTGCCAAGTTGTGATATTATTAATTTTTTTTTCGAATGTAGTTATTATCATGTTTAGCTCAATAAATGCCTATTATTATTTTTTTCCGATCGTTTGATACAATATTATTAACATCCTGGAGCACCTATTTCACATCAAGTGTATTTAATTTAAACTAAAAATATTGGGTAATTTATAATCAATATCCTTTTATACACTAAATTACTCAGATTTCTCTACTCCCCTCTCAGTGGTGGAACAACGTAACCACGGGCCTGTGTGCGAAACTTTTTGCTGGGCCCCCATTATGATACGAAGTATTGATAACAATATTAATTTAGGTATGAATTTTGCCTACAAAAAAACCAATTGATAAGTATTTATGTTCCTGAACCTGAACATGGAAAAATACGAGGAAAAATATTAGAGTCAGAGAGCAGATTCAGCGTTTACGCTTATCATTTCCCCACTATTTAGACAATTGAATCTTACTTTCACAGTTAACTTTTACTATTCAGAAAGTTATTCGTTCGATAATAGTGTTATTTCATGGTTCATGACAATTTATAGCTAATTTTTTTGTGCTTTTGGAAGTTATGCTGCGTATTTTAGTACAAAAAAATTAAATTTAGTACATTTTCATTGACATTTCATTTTCAGTACAATTTAAAAAATTACTCAATCGCTGGCTGTAGTCGGTTTCACACCGTGCTAAAGGTATGCTGCAAAAGGTTCCATTTACCGTGTTTCCGTCTTTCCATGAACAGTATTATTTCCGAGTATGACAATCCCGGGTCCGGGCCCCTTTTCTAGCCCGGGCCCATGTACTTCGCACACATTGAACACCGGTAGTTCCGCCACTGTCCCCTCTCCATATTTGTTGAACTTGTAATTCATTATAGCATTAAATGTATGAAAAAAATAGATAGAAATATCAGTTCTGTATATTTAAAAATATTAAAGCACAAAGAAATGTCACCAATAAACTGTATTTAAAATGCTAGAAATTTACTTGGTACACAATCCAAAAATAACAAACATAAACGCAAATACATTATAATAAATGGTTTAACAAAAAAAAAACATGTATGTAGGTGACACATTTATAGCTGAAGTACTTTTATTTAAATATTTTTCCTTGATTGAACTTTCTTCCTTGTTTGTCAGTTCCGGTCCACGCAAAGTAGTGCTCTACCATTTTCTTAGTTTCCTCGGAAGACGGGTCTAGTTTCTTCCAATCGTATGTTTCGTAATCAATTTGCCAGTCGGGACTAAGCTGCAAGTTAAAAATAAACTGTTAAATAGACATTTAACGTCACAAACTAATGTAGTGAATCAAGTGGTAACATTGTTTAGCAAACAGACATTTTAGAGGCACCTTAAGTTTTTTGTGCACAGATTTGGATCGCCAATGAGTCCAAAATGGCACACGAGTCTGCTACCTTAATCGAGTACTGTAAGACAGATGTATCAAACTGTCAAACTTGCTTACAACAAAAGATTTTATTTTTCCAAGCACTTTTCACAGAGAACGAAAAATAGTTATTTATATAACAAGAGCGCGAAGTTCAATTTCGCGCTAGCGTTATATACAATATTGTTTCCAAACTTGAACCGATTGTTCATTAAATTTGCTGTTTAAGTTCAACTTTTTCAAGGTTTTTTTGACAGTTGTAGAAAAACGTATTTTTAGAGAAAATGTGATACTGAACCACCATATGTGATACATCGTTGTCAAAATCCAAAATAGCGAAGAAAAAATCAATGGAAAAAATTAAAATGCCATGTGTTTCTCTATCAAATTATTAAAAACGGGATGCCATATTCGAATTCTCCATAAAAAAGTGTCTGTATGATTAGTTTATCATGAAAAAATCAACAACGAAAATCAGAATTTTTGCCCTCATTCACCAAACTCTTATCTCTACAGATTAGCTAAATCCCCATGGTGGCACTCAACAAATGGACACCCTATATAAATAAGTACAAGATTAATTTGCCAGACGATTGCCCATATGAATAAGAGGGAGTATATGCAAAATTCAAAGTAAATACTCACAAGTGCCCCTTCATACTGGGCTGCTTGGCAGCGTTGCTAAGTCGCCCAGTGTGAAGGGGCACTTACGAGTATTTACCTATTTTGAATTTTTCATATACTCCCTTTTATTATTATGGGCCATTCATTTCGTTGTTTACTTTCCACTGAATAAATATTATTTAGGTAACTTTTGTACTTATATTATACCAAATCACTTTGTTCTTTGGTGCTATACAGGGTGTTTAGCGAAGAATGGGACAGCGCGATACCTCGGGAACGACTGCAGATTTTAAAACTTTGTTATAAATGTGTCCTACGACCATATATTTTGCTATAAGAAGTGTCTTAATTAAATGTAGGCATCTTTTCTTTTTTATAGATACATGTTCAATTTATAAAAATTATTATTTTTCTGAAAAATAAAAGATAGGTATAGGTTGGTAGCACTTATAAGTCAAGGTTGCACTAATATGTTGTAAATTCTCAAAAATCTAGTAAAAAGTAGGGATTTGAAATTATTTCACATATTTTGAGAAAAAGAAAATTTTTGGGCATTGTTTAGATTGCGGCCACCGTCTTAAATTTTTTTAAATAGCAACTGGTCATGTGATGTCATTAGAAACCTTGGTTTTTTCTCTTTCTTACTACCTGATTCATGAATGGTGTTAAATGCTAATGTATTGCAATTTAAATATAGATATCAGAAAAATTAACAAAAAATGCAGGTGTTTAATAAGTGATATAAACACAGTACATATGGTTTATTTCCTTACAACTATTGTATCATGTAAGAAATAAATCTTAATTTTGTGAATATGGACCATTTGAGTTTTCTATTATTTTCTCATTTAACACCATACATGTTTAAAGTAGTAAGAAAGAGGAAAAAAAAACTATTTCTAATGACGTTATCACACTTACCATTGCTGCTATTTAAAAAAGTTCAAGATGGCGGTTGCACTTGACAACCATGTGTCAAAAATGACGTTTGTAACCCAAATCAATTGCCAGTTACTTCTACATGAAACCTGTTATTATTTAATTCGAGCTGGTTTCTGGACTGCGTTGATATTTTTATGAGGGTTCAAAAACTAACATTAAAAATTGAATTGAAAAAATCATTAAAATACTTTTTTTAATTGAAACTTTTTTAAGCGCTCAATTGTTTTTTTCGCCGCCATGACTGATCATGGTCAACTAAGACAAATTATTGAAACTGCCATTTTTATAATAAAAAAAATTCATTAGTCAATAAAAAGCTTCAAGGAGCAATAGTATTTTTTTATTCTCAATGTTCATACTATTTGCCTTTAAATAAAAACTTTGGTTGTATCACTATTCATCCTGTACAGAGTGTAAATCGAAAAGTGGAATAAAAGTTATAGAGATATAAATTCTGCATCTAAATCATGGAAACGATTATTCTACTTCTTCTTGTATGCGAAAAAATTAATTATAAAGGTTCTGTTTTCACGAGTTTTTAGTCTAAGTAGCCATGGACTATGTTTGAAAAATTATATTATTAATTAGGAAACGTTTGCGCAAAGAAAAAGTAATTTCCCATGCTAAACGCCTATGTTCCACTTTTCGATTTACACCCTGTACAATTACTATGATTGGATATCACTTTTATAAGCTTTTCAATGATGTATCACATAAGTAGGGTTTTTTAGTTATGTGGGGCTTAAGGGTTTGAATTCTCTGTTGTTTGTGAGTTTGTAAGTTTTTAAATTGTCATTGGGGTACAATTAAAAAAATGGATAACAAACTTACATCGAAAGCTAAGTCTTGACCTCTCCATACCCAGATACCAGATATGGAGCTGTCATTATCTGTGCCGAATAAGCAAACTGATGCAAATGCTTGCTTTCGCATCTTATCTAACCTTTGGAACATTCCTAAAAGCACAAAGATAACCTTGTGGACTAAATGTTAGCACAAATTACTATTACCTGTAATTAAATTACAACTCATGAATACTTTAGTGAGCTCTTCGTTATACTTATACTCTCCATACCAAATGGAATAATTTGCGGGATCAAACTTCTCCCAGAAGTATGGAATCGATTTAGTTTCATCTTCATTAGAATAACATCTTTTATAGTCATCCATATTGAAAGTTCTGCAACGCAACTTTAGCATCTTGGCCCACAACTTTAACTGTTTACCCTTTCGGCATGGAGTCGAATGGGTCCTTTGATTTGGGTTCAGCAGCCAAAGCCGCCTCTGCCGCATCCATTTCTTCTTCTGGTTCTGGCTCTTTCTCTTTCTTAGGTGCAGGTTTCTTCTCTTTCTTTTCTTCCTTTTTCTCCTTCTTATCTTTACCTTTACCTAAAAACAATTCAATTAATTACAGCGCACAAAATAGAACTCAATCGCCCCCTACTCACACTTCTTCTTACTACTTTTGTCAGCATTAGCAGCTTGCAAGAGACCGTTAATTTAAGAAGCGAGAAATAGAAATTGTGTAACTCACCTGCCGGCTGTTGTTGATATTTTTTCGGATCGACTTCCGCTACCTTCGCACACAAGTGTACTTCTCCAGCGACGGCTTTGAAATTGGGCTGATTAACCATAGTAGTAAACCACCGGTTGACATTTACGTATGGTTTTCTAAAGTTGGGATCGAGCACGTGAGTGTATAAGTGCAATAAATTACATGCGACCGTGATATCGGCCAATGAAATGCGTTCTCCAACCAAATATGTGCGCGTTAACAAGTGTGTGTTTAAAATCCCTAAGGCAGCCTTAACATCTTCCTTAGATCGGTCGAAAGTCTACAAGTCAAACGGTTAGTTTTCAAAATATGAACTGATTATGGAATGAATGTTAGGATGTCTTAGTTTCGTCTTTCTTATAATAAGTAAGAGGTGTGGAACATCCTTTTAATATACCCTCCTACTTGAGAAGTAAGCGACAGCACTCACTTCGCGCGGAGGAGGGGCAGTCAAACATGGGACATACCTTTTTGTCATACTGTACAATGCCCAAGATGGGGAAGACCCAAGCGCAAGATGCTGGAAGGATCTCGCTTTCGGCGAAGCAAATCCATTGAAGTATCTGCGCCTTTTCAAGATCAGTTTTGCCACGTAGCTGTTCATTGGCGACGTAATAAGCGATTGCGTCCCCGTTTTGTAAACATTTCCCGTCGCTCGACTCAAATGCAGGCACCTAAAATTGACAAATTATAACCTATAAATACTTCACAAAAGCGGCTAATGCGAGCAAGGTAGTAAACGAAACTTACCTTTCCAGAAGGGAACTTGCGTAAAAACGCTTCGGTTTTGTTTGTCTCGCCGAAGACGAAGCTCGTGTCGACTTTTACATTTGCAGATGCATATTTAGCGGCGATAAGTGCCTTGTAGGCACGACAATTTTCGGGATATGTGTAGAGAGTCTGAAAAATATGGGCAATAAACGAAAGCGCAACATGGATAAGGCGAATTCTTATTGAAGAATATCGCGGATGGCCATCAATTCCCGGAATAATTTTATATTTCTATTACTTACACCCGAAACCATTGCTGACATTCACTAGAGAAGAAGTCAAAAGGAGAGGGGTGAGGAGCCCGCTGTCATAATTGTCAAAATCTTGCGACGAGAGTGCCCCCTACCGCATAACTTTTTGACTACGCGCCAGTGGCGTGTTACGGATGGGGTGAAAATGCTGCAGATAAGTTTAATATCGTACTACTGTTTAAAATTTGTGTGCTGTTTATTGTCTTGAGAATGGTCTTGACTAACAAAAGAACAAGGATGTGTAAATGTCACGCAGAGGTTAGATGAAGTTGAATTAGCAGAAATTGTCTGTTGGTACATGCCATTGAATTTATAAATTTAATGGTAGTGTACATGCGATTAACAAAAAAACCAAAGATATTAAAGATAGGTACTGTAAACTTATGTTTTCTTCAAGATGGATTTCCTTCACTGGTACATCGTTGTTATAGAGTTGATATTATCAATAATAGCAAGAGGACGCCACCTAGGAGGTCCACAAAAATTTACCTACAGGTATATTGTACCAAATATGTAGCTACCGAATCTCTACTAAGCAACGACACGAGCTGATGGACCGTCACTAGCACACGACACGAAAATAATTTCCAAAAGACCTTCCGGACTCCCGTTGAAGACCGCGATCTAATTTCATGTTTATTGAACTTTAAATTACCTGGAAATACATACATATAGTCAGGGACGGACCTAGACAAAAAAATTGGGGGGCCGACATGACTTTTTGCCAACTCAACTGTAAAAATTTCCAACTCAAACGGGAAGTATCTATTAAGTATTAAGTGGTATTCAAGTCTAATAAATCATGTAGAAAATGTAGGATATCAGTATACGGTCTCTAATACTAATTAAAAGCATTACCAAAATACCAACCTTGTGTCGAAGAAGAAGGAAGTGACTTCAATGAAGTGTCATAATCCAAGTTGTACTAATAAGCAGCTATGTCAATGCGAAATAATACAACGTGCAATTAGGGAAAAATCTCTAGGATTAATACTGGACAACAAACTAAAATGGATCGATCATATTACTCACACAAGGAATTTGTTGTACATTATGATAAAAAAATTATATTATTTAAGAAACTTTTTGACCCTAGATGCACTAAAGACCGTGTATTATGCAATTATTCACTCACGAATACAATACGGAATTGCTTGTTGGGGCGCTGCTTATGATGCCTCACTACGCCCATTAATTAGTATACAAAAACACGCGGTAAGAATTATTACTTTTCAAAATAAATTAGCTCCCTCTTTTCCCATTTTTCGAAATTTACAAATTTTAACAATCAAAAATTTATTTATCTACAAAGTACTGAAAGAGTTCTTCGAAAGGTCCGAGTGTTTTAGAACTAAAAAATATGAAAGACATACGCGAGGTAAAGACAAGGATAAAGTAAAGCCGCTCAAACCTAATTTTACGACCTTTCGAAAAACTTTTCTTTATGTCGGTCCCATAATTTATAATTACATAGTTGATCATTGCCCGGAATTGTGTAGGAATGTAAAGCAATTAAAGAAATGGTTGTATAACAACAACACCATATATGATAGTATCCTAGCAACGTTATGATCAAAATATCGAGCCGTATATACCAAACTTTTTTTTTTCCTTTTTGTTTCTCGATCAATTGATACCGTATATAATCAATTCAAATTATGCACTGCAGAAAGCGGCACATACCTGTTCTTTATGAAGTAGTATTTGTAAGTCGGTGGTGGAGTAATTTTTCCCACCATTTTCTCCTAAAGTTAAGTGTAGGTAAAATTTTTATAATTTTTTTTACAATGGAGAATAAAATTGATTTGATTTGATTTGATTTGATTTATTACATTTACGATTTACCTACTTTCGCGGCATTCGCCAACTGGTAATGAAAATTACCAACTCTTGTCAAAATTGCCAAAAGTATTGGAGGGGCAGCCTGCCCCCTTGCCCCCTCATAGGTCCGTCGCTGCATATAGTACCATTGTATAGCACATACACAATGATAGTTCCATTGTACATTTATTATACAGTGGTAGTATACCTTAGAGAAGGAAAGAGGATAGTACTATATGATGATATTATTATAGATGGGAATCTTGGAAATCAGCAGAGATGGCGAGACCATTGAATGGGGAAATAATTGCAATTTTACCAGGTTAGTTTAGTGGGCTTTTCTACAGTAGTCACTCTTTAGAAATATGTTTGATAATTATTGTAAGGTCGTTATGAAACTCCTACGTCTCGTAATAATGCTCAGTTGAACGTTTCATTATGTAAATCACTTTAGTACTGTGTATTTTGGAGGACACTGTATAAGCCAGATAGGTTTTATTTTTACACGAGAGGTTTAAGTGCAACTACTAGAAGCGTCTTCTATACAGAAGTGTGCTGGTTGGGGAATATTTTTTTATACTCGTATAGCTATTAAAGTAGACTATTCTGCTATTGTTAATTATACATAATTCTCCCGTTAGCTATTTTCATCAAAGCGGAAAAACGCTGTTGCCTGCACTTTCTCGTCTGTCCGACACACGTAATATTTCTACACGACTGAGCCGATTTGTGCGATATGCTCATTTCAAGGGTTTTGGTGCAAAGATCTCCGTGCGTAATGGTTTTCAGCACGATTGTTCATTTATTTATTTATTTATTTATTTTCCTGCAGAAGGTGTTAAGTTCTATACTACTTCGGTATTAGCAAAACTGCAGGAAAACCTAATTCTGAGTAGCCGGCAGAATGCTTGGAAGATCGAAACTGATCTAAGGAAATTCCCATCTCGGTCACAGACACGAACTAATAAATTAAGATGGACTGCTAATGCTGAATTGACAAATGACACCTACATGGGGGCAGCCATGATGTGCACTCACTTGGCGCGAAATTCAAATCAACTAGTAAACAAGCATTAACCTCACATTTTCTAAATAAATTACTGTGATATATGTCATTTTCCAAGGCTGCAATAGTCTCCAAACTTGAGCGCTAGGAAAATTCTCCTAGAAAATAACTAAACCGTGCTAGGGCCATTTCTACCTCTATGCAACTGTTTGATCAGCAGTCCATCTTAATTTATAAGTTCGGGGTCACAGATAAAAAATTCTTACCTCAGCCCAGGTTCGGATATCCGACCTTCGGCTTACGGCTATGTAGCCTAACATTCTACCACTGAGGTACATAGACAGGTTTAACTAAAACCCCTGGGAATTTTTTCTGAATCCTATATTTTGACAGGCAAAAATCTGCAATGCTTTCTTATTTATGAAGTTATTTAAATTAAATTTCATATGTAGGTACTTCGCAAAAAAATGTGACTTTGCGCATGCGCAGTGTCAAAAATTTGTAAAAATTTGGTTTACCGCATGCAATGCTAACTTTTTTATTTATGAAGCTATTTACATGAAACTCTACATGTAAATACTACGAATATAAGTAAAACTGACAATGTTTTCAAAATACTGGGCATGCAAAATGCGGTTTTTATTTACGAAAGTATTGAATTGATTGATAGGCGTTTAGAATAAAATAAGCAAACCTAACATGTTTCAAAATTTGGTTTTGCATATGCGCAATGCCAACTTCCTTATTTAAGAAGGCATTTAAATGCAGTTTAATACAATATTGTTTAAATAACCCAACACTCAAAATAGTGATATCAATTTATTAAAGTAAACGGCGGGAGGGGGGGGGGGGTTATTTACGAATGCAAAAGAATTGGTTTGATTCATTTGAGTTTGTATTTCTATAGTGTTATTTTTCCTTTTAGATCTAGTTAAATTAACGCGCGTGCTTTGGTGTTAGTAGTATAGTAAGGCCGATCCTGGTTCACTTTACATTGAAAAGTGCCATATGAATGAAGTGTTAGCGTTCAATGTCAAAGTGGTGTTCAAGGTCAAAGTGGTATTGCGTAAGGTGGGGGGGGGGGATGACTGAAGGTCATTGGGTTTGCGCATTGGTGTTCGAGGTCATGTGGGAGTGTGTCCGTCTGAAATAATGCGTGTCGATGCTGGCTCACTTGAAGGTCATATCGATTTTGGGTCGAAGCCGAATGCGTCGCGATCTATCCAAGGCCATGGTATCCCATGGCCCTTTTCGCGCTACAGTATATGCAAATGACCACGCGACCAGTACATACACGCGATTGTTACTATCGTCAAATGTAACTTTCTTCATCACCCTATTATGTATTCACCCAACTGAGCCTCGTTCAGTCCGTTCATAAGGCAATAAACGGATATTTTATAATTTAAAAAGCGTCTACATAGTTCAATCCCCAACTCATACCTTTGGGCAATGTTTTGACACTGTTCCCTAAAAGTCTCAGGCCTATACACCGCCTCATGCTCAGCATCATATATAGTAATACCAATAAGGTTTGATAAAGGCATTCAACAGCCGTTCGCCACATATTCACCACAAATCGCCAGTAGGCCTCACAGCATCAATTTTTCCATACTGCGCCGATGCGACAACCCAAAATTTCCACATCCCACTTTAATTTTTTAATTTTCATTACCAGCTCGTCATTTTTTTCCGTTGCTGCCGCTGCTCCCGCTGCTGCTGATGAACAATTACTCTTGACATCTCCTTTATTATTGTTATTATGGACAAATGATTATTCCAACAAGCACCTTACATTACACCCCCCACTCTCCAAGTCGCAAACCATCCCTCGATAGCCTAAGAATTGCACCACGTTTGACCTTGACCACAAACAATACACCCTTTGTTCTCTCGACACCCGGCGCGCTCTCGGCCTTTGAGATACGAAGCCGGCAAGAAGAATAATTACGTTTTACCCTCAACCTTGAGACGGCAGCCGACAAATTACGCAACCCATTTTTTAATCACAGACACTCTCAGCGCTCAACCGGCACCGCCAGTGGCACCCCACCCCCCAGAAGAACACAAACAATAAACCCCCTTTTGTTCTCAGCGGCCGACCTTGAAATCCAATCACCTTCAGGAAAAACAATTTGATCACACACAATACACCTCCCTTAACGCTCTCATCAATCGACCTTGAAATCCACAAACCTTGAAACGACCACGCAACACCACACCACTTTCACCTTGAACACCAACACTTTATTCATATGGCACTTTTCAATGCTAAGTGGGCCAGGATCGATACGACCTTGAAAGTGAGCCAGGCCCAGGATCGGCACGCATTCAGTTTTGAGTGACTCAGGATCGATACGACCTTGAAAGTGAGACAGGATCTCAGAGTAAGAAATAAAGATAGAGTACGCGTACGCTATAACAACGTGAACGTTTGTTTTGAACCAACATCTCACCGTTGAGAGGTAGAAAGTAAACATTAGTCAGTGGCGTAAGGTTTATTTATTTTTATGGGCAACAAAGTTTATGTTTTGTTTACATGTGCAAAGGTAATAACGTATCACTAAATATTTATGACCAAAAGCTGTATGTGTTTGAAAGGTCCCTATTGATCTATGATAAGGTATGGTGATACTTCAAAGTGGAAACTTAGAAGGAAATCTAAACACATTAAAATGCGAAAATTCCCGTATGCACGTCTATGACTTCAAAACACATACGGATGAAAGGTTATGTTAGGTAATTCAATAATTCCACAAATAATACAGCTTTTCCCCATTTCAAAGGGCTCCCATAAATTAATACACCACAATCGAATAAGTCCTCCACTATAAAAACGCCTAAAAATTAAGGAATCACGTTTTAACGAAATAAACAAAATACCTCTCAACGGAAAACAAAGTTACAGCGTTGCCGTTGTGGTGCACTAATCACCATAACTTTTCTTGTTACGCCGTTTAATTGTAAGTTAAAATTGTTTGGGTTACTGAACTCTTATAAGCATCTAAAAATCCATTTAGATTACTCCAGATGCATATGTTATTATTATTCCCTTAAAAACTATCTCGTGAAATGTGACAACTTAGCCTCCTGCAATGTTAGTAAACAAACGAGATGATGGCACGCATAGATAAGCATCAAGGCATCTCTATCTTTACTTCTTACTCTGAGGACAGGATCGCCACGCATTCAGCGTCGACCCAAAATCGATATGACCTTCAAGTGTGCCAGAATAGGCACGCATTCTTTCAGACGGACACACCCCCCACATGACCTTGAACACCAATGCGCAAATCCAATTACCTTCAGCCATCGCCCCCCCCCCCCTCGCGCAATACCACTTTGACCTTGAACGCTAACAGTTCATTCATATGGCACTTTTCAATGTAAAGTGAGCCAGATCAGCCTTACTATACTACTGGTGCTGTGCTGATAATAACAGATGTAGGTGAACAACTTGTGCGAATTATTTTCGGAGAACGTTCCTTCGAAGTAGGCGTTATCAAGGCTTGTTGTAATTGGCGCATTATTTTTCAATATCGGAAGAAGGAGTTTTTTGTTTGATAGAATTAAGTGGGGTTCTCTTAAATCTTGCAGACAACGAAACAACCAGGCTGCGAACTAGGTCTCAACGGTTGGAAAAGAGTGTACCTACACGTCCCTATACATTACCATGATTACCTATTTATTCTGGCTATCCGCCCGATTTGAATGATTGAAGACGCAGTGTGTCATTTTAATAATAATTCTGTTCAGAAGAAAGTTTAACTGAAGTGGCTTGCACAGGTACCTACACCTAGCTACTACACGCACACCTACACATGCCCGATGTGTCCAACATCTTTTCTTTTATGTCTAGTACCAAATTTGTTTACAATCGATTCAGCCGTTTAGCCGGAAATGGGCCTTGAGGCCATCTGTTACGGTTCTCTTTTTATCAAAGTTCAAAGTTTTTAAAACCGTTCGCACAGCCACCGATAATTGTTTTCATCCGATTGTCTTCAACAATCCGTTCATTTATCATAAAGATTTTTGTGTTTGTTTGAGCTAGCTGGTCAGCCTGGTGGGTACGACAGTGTTTCTTTTTAAAAAAAGAAGGATTATACGTATAATAATAAATAAGTTATTTTACAATTATTGACAATGTATTTGTTGACACTTTTAATTTAACTACATGAAAAATTTACACGTAGTACAAGTATGCTCGTAGCCTGTACTCTCCCAGTTGGTTGTGTTTTTATGTTGTTTAGTGAACAGTTTGTTCAGTTTGGAGTTCGGCCACAGCTTACTTACTATAGTAAGCTGTGGTTCTGCTTGTATTTGTATTTGTATTTGTATTTTTTGTTGTTGTGAATATACATTATGTATTTACAAACGTCATATAAATAACAAAAAGCTTAAAAATGTTTTCAGTCGCCTATCTTCATATCACCGATGTCTGTGTCACTTAAAAACTCATCTACTGTGTAGTATGCTTTACACAGTAGAAAGTTTCTAACTAATTTCTTAAAAGTGTTAGAATTTTCTATTTTGCTGGTGATATGAAGATGATTATATAGTTTAAAGCAAAGGTAATTTGAGCTGGACTGAGTTTTACATATTCTTTTAAAGGGTAAGTAGATGCTGTTTTTATTTCTTGTGTCGTGATGAAGAATGATTTTGTATGCTTTGATATTTAAATTTATGCACGTATGTGACTGACTCTAAAATAAATAATGACGGCATAGTTAAGATTTTTAATTTAATAAATGAGTTTCTACAGTCGACTCTATAATTGATACCACTAAGAATTCTGACAACTCTTCGCTGAATAGCAAAAAGGCGTTTACTCGCGTAAGAATTTCCCCACAGAACAATTGCATAAGACAATATACTCTGAAAATTCCCGTAGTATGCACTCATTAAGACGTTACTTGAAACAGTATTCTTTAAGCATTTAATAAGGTAACTCACCCTTGTCAGTTTATTTGCAACATTGTTCACATGTATGTTCCACTGTAGAGTAGTACTTAAGCTGACGCCTAGTATCTGAATAGTTGTATTATTTTTAATATCTCTTAAATCGCGGAGGCTATGCCATAGGGTTTGTGTTTTACTGTCATTTACAGCTAGCTGATTAGCATTAAACCATGTTTTTATCTCCTTGTTTGTATGGTATATTTTAGAATGAAGATCTTCAAGAGAGGTTTCGATATTTATACTATTTGAATCATCTGCGTAAAGTATGAGATTATTTGCAGACACATTATCAAATAAATCATTAATAAATATAATGAAAAGGGTAGGACCTAAGATTGAGCCTTGGGGTAACCCGCACTTTACTACTCGTTTTTCTGACAAATTATTGTTTAGATTGACAATCTGGTTTCTGTTTGTAAGGTAAGATTTAATTAACTGCAGAGAAATTTGATTGAAATTGTAATGGCGTAGTTTTTGAATCATTAGATTGAGGAGTACGTGTGGGGATTATAAATAACCCCTCTACCTATCCAAATTTTTTGTTCTCAAGACGTAAAATGCCGTAAAGTTGAAGGGGGTCTTCTGTTACAACAATCTGGATCATTGTGCAAAATAAGCATGATGCGCCACTGGGCGACAAATTCTTTATTTAATATTATTTATTTAACATACCTACCTACAATCTGCGAGTGTCTGAAACTCTTATAGCAATAGCAGAATACGTAATCTAAGCTGTAGCATTATTTTGACTGCGCACCTTTCCTTTTGTATTTTAAAAAGGAAAAAATTTAAATATATCCGAGCAAAGCGCCCTCTGCACAGAAATAGTTGTATCATAATTGTAAAAATTGACAGTGGGCTGTGTAGTGCAATAATCAAATTGTGCTACAAAATACGAGAAAACCATGGTAAGAATAATGAAAGTATTTCCGTAACAATTCCTCCAAAAAATAGAATTAGCAATGAATCCAAACATGCGTTTCTTACAATGGGCGCTATACCTGCAGTTCATTGTATTTTAAAGGGACAAGCCCATCTCTTTTATGTATAATTGCTTATTTGCAGAATAATATATATTTTATTATTGATTATTTTTAGGGTAACGAAAGTTCCTTGCCCATGGAGCTTTGCTCAAATTGTAAGTAACCAATTTTATCTTAGGAGATAGTAGTGATTCCGTTTGCAGTTGATGCTGATGAAATAAAACGCCTCGGGAAAAGATTTCGAAAGCTAGATTTAGACAACTCGGGTGCATTAAGCATTGACGAATTTATGTCTCTACCGGAATTACAACAGAACCCACTGGTTCAACGTGTTATCGATATATTCGACGCTGACGGTAATGGAGAAGTGGATTTCAAGGGTAAATATTGTGCTCGATTTACTTGTAAGGTATTCCCGCAAGATGTTTAAGCGTTTGTGTATTCTTGCAGAATTCATCCAAGGGGTCTCTCAGTTCAGTGTAAAAGGTGATAAACTATCTAAATTACGCTTTGCATTTAGAATTTATGATATGGATAATGATGGTTTTATTTCAAATGGAGAGTTATTTCAGGTAAAAGTTTTCAAGTTGTTCATTATTAATGGGATTAATTTTAAAAGAATCATTAGGGTATATTCTATTTAATCCGATAATTAGTAGGTAGCTAAATTAAATTTGACCTTTACATTATATTTGTTTCTTGATTGGTCACTAAAAACATTGTGCTGTTTTACTTACCACCATGGTTCCATTACTAAGGGACCTAACGGCATAAAAAAATTGTGCATGTGATCAAAGAAATATTTTTGTGAATGTCTGTTCTTCAACAGCAATTAGAGGTCCAAGATCTATTATGGTGGTAAGATTTATTCACCACATTTTTGCTGTAGTACCTACTTCACTCAAGGCGCATATTGCTGGCAACATTAGTACCAAAAATTCAAAAGAGTATAAATTCTAAAAAATTAAAGAAATGCAAAATGGTGTGTTTCTGGCATTCTTATGATTTATGAAGTTGTTTTAATTTTTATGTTCTAATCATATAGGTTAATCCCATGACCTGTCCTATGTCATTAAAATTACAGAAAATAATAAAAACATATTTTTATTTAATGCAAATAGTGAAATCTGAGGTGAAATCATATCTTACTGAAACTGAACAAAAAAATATAAGTACTTAAGTACAGGTCAGTAGAGTTTCAATAATCTGGCAGATATAGGACGGGGGTACTGTCGGATTAGTGAAAATGACTGATTACTGGAAGGTCATCAAGAAAAACACTTAAAATGCACACCACAAGGGTTTTATTGTACCGCAACAACCAATAAAAGGTATTTTAGAATAAAAAATGACTTTCAAAAATTATCTCGTAAATAATATTTTTATAGTTCTGTACCAAAAAAAAAAAATGAAAAATAAACATCACAACTGAGCAATTCTAGTCCTTTGTTTTCAATAGTTTCAATGTGTTTCAACTTGAATCCCCATCACGCTCTTTAAAATGAGCCGGATTACTGGAGTGCCGGGACTGGCACAGTGCCAGATTATAGAGTCTACTGTAGATGTTATTGAATATGGTTTATTTATGTTTTAACTAAAAAATACAGATACTTGGTCTCAATGAAGGAAACCAATATCTCTCCATAAGAATGCAATTCTTATTGGTTTCCCTCATTCACATCAGATGGATCTTTGGATTAATTTCAGATACTTTGTATCAATTTCGTTCAGGTTGTGGGAAATTGTGACACATCGTCAAATATTTTCCATGTTTCTTATTTCACGACTGGGGGCCTTTGGCAGCGCGTCTTATCACTGCCATTAATTTTTGATTAATACACGATGAAGCCTTTCTTCTACTATTTCTAACAGCACGCTTTATTTTGCGAATTTTCGTGTCTTAAGCGGCCCAGTTGTGTACTCCTCGTCATTATGCAGAGTGCACAATAGGCAAGTTTTGTAACTGAATCAAAATATCAAAATAGATGCTGTTGCGCTAAAAGAAAACATAACTTCCCTGAATTGAGCACCAGTCATGCACACCAAAATACGAATGTGTGGCCATGAGACCATAACGAACACACGTACGTGAGCACGACATAGCTCCAACAGGCTAGTAGCGAAACGGTACATAAACAGAACCGCTTTTTGGACGCTTACGGGCAGATAAAATGGCCATTTCTTATTAAATTCCTTGACAAAATGTCTAGTTCATAAAATTCCCTGACAATTCCAGGTTTTTCTTCTTTATCTCGTCTTTTCGCGGCGCCGTTATTATATGAATGTTTCGACATTTAAAAAAAATTACAACAATTTCAAAAAGTAGGCAAAAAGTTACGTTTGCACGCAACTCCGTGTAGTCCTGTTAGTTACTTTTAAGACGCCCATTCATTATATGAGCTCACACCCGACTCCCAACCGTGACCCGACATACGACCCATCCACACCAGCACACACTTTATATGAACCCTGTACGAGAGTTCAGTTGTATATTGAATGCAGTGGACTCTAGATATGCTTCCCATATTTTCTAAAAAGACAAACGTTGTTTTGAGAAGGTACCAGCTTTCTATAGCGGAGAAAAACTGAAATGCACTTTCTTCTTGGATAACCAATGCCTACGCATGCCTGAGGTAGTGGTGCCCAAGAGGGGGGCAGATTGTTATCCTTCATGGTATTCTAATGAAAGGTCTCATTGAAAGGAATTGGTTTATAGCAACTAACTTTCCTCCGCCATTCTTTTTAGCGCATTTTTTAAGAATTAAAAAACATGTGCTATTGTTTGCGTTTTGTCCGTCCGTCCGTTCGGACCCACTTCTGCCGTTGCGAACTACTTCTAGGGGAATGGTCTTAGAGTCCTGGAAGTTTTTGCAGTGGATAGCCTATACCTTGAAGGTGTGCCAGACGGGCATCAAATTTCGCTGTCTAAAAGGGAGCCCCCCCACGAATTATTTCCTGAGATGCTGTTTTTGAAAGTAAAACGTGCATAACTTTGACATACGACAACTAATTGGTCTCAGATTTTGCATACGCATGTCTTTAGTGGTGCCAAGTTACACTTTAGAAAATTGGGGGGGGGGGGTAAACACATGTTCTATCCTTCATGGTATTCTAATGAAAGGCCTCATCGAAATAAATTGGTTTGTACAAACTATAATTTTTCCGTGCGATTCTTTTTAGAGATCAGTGAGCGACGGGGCCTGAGGGGGTGGGGAGTTAAAAATTAATATCATCTCTCATTGTATTCTAATTAAAGGTCTCAGTGAAAGGAACCGTTTTCTACCAACTACTGCCCTTCTTTCTGTCCTATGAAAGTACGGGGTGAAGGAGAAGGGGGGGGGGGGAGTGGAACTAGTTTTATCCTTCATGGTACTCTAATGAAAGGTCTCAACGAAAGGAATTCATTTCTACCAACCATAGCGCTCCTCCTCGACTTCTTATCGTGATTGGGTATATTCCCTTAAACCTCAAGAACGGATTGTCGGAAGAGGGTACTCACAAAGGGCGATTGAGACGTCTGCAAGAAATAAATCCAGTGGTGATGTCAAAACAAAAGCTATTTCGGTAAAAAAAATGCGCTATATCTGCACATGAGTTGTACTAACACAATCTATACTTGTTTGACATGAATGAGGGGGAGGGGGTCAGAAAAGTTTTTGGGATATTCTAATGAAAGGTCTCAACGAAAGGAATTATACCGATACAGTCCTCCTCCTCAACCCCTTATCATGATCGGTTATAATTCCTCATGTCTCAAGAGGGGAGGGTACTTAAAAAGGCGATTGAGCCATCTGGAAAAATTTATCTATTGGCGATGTCAAAACTTTAACTTTATAAGCAAATATCTCGAAATCTGTTTGTCGGAGGCAAGTACTTGCCAAAATGAATCGTCAGGCCGAGACATATTTATTATTGAAGTTCAAGTGAATATCTTGAAAACGAAGTGTCAGAAGAGGGTAGGTACTCATAAAGGGCATGCGGAACGTCAGGACGAGACATAATCTACTAGTCATGTCAAAACTTTCACTGCAAATATCTGCAGAATGGAGGGTCAGAGGGGGGTACTCTCAAAGACGAGACACATCTACCGGTCATGTAAGAATTAGTTGTGAATATCTTTTAATAGGGCTTGACTCGTCTTGAATTATATAGCGTAGATTTTGAATGTATGCCAGGCGACCTTTAAATGTTTGTGTCTCCTCCGTATTGATCATCTACCAAGAAAGTAAACATCGATGAATATAGCATGCTGCTACCTTATAGGTATAACCATTGACGAAGCTATTTCGTTTTAAAAAAATCTACTTTATCTTCACAAGAGTTGTACACAATTTATACTTGTTTCCTTTTCATTCATTCTTCCCGTCTCAAACCTACTGATTCTGTTCCTTATGATTTTGTTAACATTAGCCAATTAATGGCCGTTTGCACCGACTAATTTAAGCCGAGCTTAGCTTAAGCGTAGCTTAAAATCCATGGCAACGATTATTGAGACAATGGTTGCCATGGATTTTAAGCTACGCTTAAGCTAAGCTCCACTTAAATTTGTCGGTGCAAACGGCCATAAATCAACCTTTGGTCAACGGCTAATTTCGAAGGAAGGACGACTGGCGCCTCCACTCATACAATGCACTGCACGTTTTCGATATACTACTTTACTTTAACATTTGTTAAATACAGCGAGCACATCATTATCTAAAAATAACATTATCTTTTGCGAAGCGAATAAACAAAACTTCTTATCGCCAGATCGGTTGGCAATTAACTCCTAATGTCCCTAATCTTTATTATCGTAATCTAAGTGAGCCACAAAAGAATCAAAAGACAAGGGGATTATTTAAACAAATAATATTTTTGGGGCTGGGCTATCACACCCATTGATAATCAAGATATCTTGTACAATTTGGTATATCGGTAACCTATTCTACCGAGATGTCCTCAAATATTTATAGCGCGTTCGCACCTCCAGATGCAATATGGTGCTTATGGACATACAGTACATGCTTGCCAAACGTGACAATAACAGCACACAGATTATGTTGTGCTTTATTACTTCAATTTAACCATATCAGTTTGGCATCATTACTCATTACATTATCGGTTTGGAGGTTAAGTTCTTGCCGATTTGAAAATGAACCATCGAATGTAATGAGTAATTCGATTGTCGGGCGGTTGGTTATTGTGTGTAATTTGACAGATTAACTAACTCAACCAAACAATATTCAATTTAATAGTTTCCGTTTGGTCGAATTACACGAATGTTATTTAATCATTTGACAGTCGTGTAGGCGCTTCTCTCAACTAAAAATAGGTAACCTATTGGAGGCCATATCGACAGGACGGCTAATAGTCGCAATATGCCATAGTAGATGGCACTTTTGTTGACAAAGATATAATTTATTTATCCATGCGGCGGATCAGGTGACAATTCCATAAAAATGCCAAGAAACACACAAAAACATAAAAAATTGCGAATAAAAATAAGTAATTTATAATCATGAAGTAAAATGAAAATTTCAGAAATACATGCTTTATGTAACTTACCTTTGAAATAACAAAACATAAGAAATGTGCTAAGAAAAGAGAGGAAAATCTTTCATTTATATGGTATGATAGTAAACAGTCAAGGATATTGTGTTATGGTGCGATAATACGATGCCAGTAGTTATCCATTCTTTATAGTAGGATGTTATAAACACTTCGCAATATTACCACTGTTATTTTAGCTACCTCAAAGTTAGTGAGTTTGAAAAAAAATAAAATGACATATAATTTAGTTTAAGTGATTTCGAATGGTAAGGCTTTTTTTACATTAAAATTTTAGGTTCTAAAAATGATGGTTGGTAATAATTTAAAGGATACGCAATTACAACAGATTGTAGATAAAACAATTTTATTCGCCGACAAGGATGAGGATGGAAAAATCTCATTTGAAGAATTTTGTAATGTAGTCGGGAATACGGATATCCACAAAAAGATGGTGGTAGACGTGTAGACAATGAAAATTGGTTGCTAATTGTCCAACTGGAGACCTGAGCAGTTTGTTATATCGCAAGATTGAACCTTAGGATTTAATGTGATTAAAGAGAACACTCGAATATTTTTTTTTTCTAATAGCTTAAATTAGTCATGTATGGAATTCTCACTCTTCTGCTTCTGTGTGATCATTAATCCTATAAACCGTGGGACCTAATTTAGATTTGCAGTATTTATAAGCGACTAATTCGTCTCTACTGCATCAAGAAAATGTGTTTGGTAGGGTTAGTAATCACGCTCGCACAACTGTCAGGTTTATAGTTGGATTTTTGCACCAATCTTAAGTTTGTATGTATTCTTAAACTATTTGTTTTATTATAAATATTGATAAATTGATGTTTTCTAACACTGTATAAAATATAAATCTAAGGCACTGTTAAAGTCTAATGCATGTGTCCTCTGCTTGTTGTTCCATTAACATATTTTATAATCAAAGGTACATATATATAAATATTAAGATAATATGGTTGTTCTTTATACTTTATCTAGGTGTTGTGTGTGTATAGTTTAATATTAACTTTAAAGGGGGTCTCAGCCTCGCAATTTTAAAATTAAATATTCTATCTTATAATAATCGTCATGCTTAAAACATCTGTACTTATACTAAGAATTGCACATAGAAGTAAATAAGTACCCGCACTACTATAATTCACATTAAAACGGTCTTCAGTTTGATGAGTTACAGTGCACGACTCGTCAATCTATCGATCGTTTTCCAAATCCATAAGAATGGAGCTTCATTGTTGCCAACAAAATCTTAATCGTTCGAGAATTGAAATTCTTTCGATAATTTCACTTGAAAGGGTTTCATAGTTCTCCATTAACGGTTAGCATTTTGCTTTTGAAAAGTAAGCAGAGATTCGCTCGTGTTTCTCCTACAGTGTGCGCTGGAAAAATGGTACCGAATGCTGTATTATTGATTTGAACATGCAGCCCTATTCCGCCTTCACCTTTATATGTATAATTACAAAATTAATTGTAGATAACTAGAGCTAGTTGGACAGTTATTTATCCCACAAGCATCTTGTATAATATGTTATGGTTGTGTTGTGCTAAAATTAGGTCATAGTTGTTCTGTTTAAAAATTTATGTTGTTCAATAAAATAATTTCACCAGATTCTTTCTATGAGTATTTCCATTTTGCAATTAAGAACAATTCGTGTAGCTGCCTCAAAAAAAAATACTGTGAATCTGTAAAGATAATATTGAAAGGTTAGGGAAGAACTGTTCCTATTGTCAACTTTAAGTGAAATTAAACCTTCAAGTAGGACACAGTATGTAACAGAGCACCCTGTTCAGAATCAAATGTCCGACAACTATCAACAATTGGTATATCTTTTCCAGTAGTTGGGTGCTAGAAGAGTCTGTCATCCGTACAGAAACTGTTCCACAATTTCTTCAAGTTATTTCCGTCAGATATAATTAAGCCATTAACCAATGTAATTCCGCTGACTAACAGCTAATCCCGGATTCTAAATTACCATAGGAAGGTGGAGAGGGACCACGCGTACCTAAGTCTTAAATTAGGGCCCTGTGTACTACCTCTCTGACAAGAGGTCGCTCTATTATACCTATCTCTGGCCAGGATACCTTAACATGGATTGTTTCAGTTGGACTATAGTGGGACATTCACAAAGTATGGTATGTCACCTCATCGTCTATGTAACATTCTCTACAAGATGGCACTTTGAAGGCTTCTCTCCCATGGTGACAATCTAACATCATGTTCCATATAGCCCTGTGTATGCCCTTTGACCCATGCGAGCTCAAGGGTGTTGCTGCTTGCTCTAGTGCATGGTGACATTCGGAAAGCAACCTAGAAGTAATTTTACAGTGACCAAGTGCCTGCAGGGCAGCCCCGCTGTCACTGGAGATTATGATAGTTTTTGTTCTTTATGTTATGCTACCTATTTGTACGCCATGGAAAAGCGGTGGAATAGTTTAAAAAAGTGCCATCTACCTTATATAGATACCTACCTGTCTCCTATGCTCCATATATACCTACACTGCGTCCAAGATAAGGATGTCCATCACAGGGATCTTCGGAAACCATAAAAGATACGACGATGATCAAATTAGAGGAAAGGTGCGCAATTAGTAGTAGTGCAGCATTATCATGCTTTAAAGAAAATTCCGATTACCTACTTCCGAAGATATCCCAGAAAAACGAAAATTTCCCGATTTCGTTTTTTTCCTGGTGTCACATGAGCAGTTACAGAAAAATATAAAACCCTTTCTCATTTCCAATTATTGTGCTCTACAGGATAGCGTTGAGAGATTTTTAATAGGTACGTTTCGTGTCGAAGAAATCAACTTTATGTTTTTTTCTATTTTGCGTTGTTTATAGCTCCATTACCGCACGCAATCGCGTATCGTTCTAGCCATTAACGCACCGCATAGATTTTGTTTTCAACTGTTGGTAACATTGCAAATGCTAATAGTCGATGGTATTTATTCAATGTGTACATAACATAACCAAACTTTTCTAACTAAAATTGCACAACGAAAGCTTTAATCATAATAAAGTAAATACAACAAACTTAGATTTCGTCCTTATCTGCGTAAGTAAATGTACAATTATTGTACACTTTGACGGTAACAGCTCCATCATGTGTATTGACTTTGATACCAGGTAAATTGTGGGTTATGATGTTGTGTTCGGCACTATTTATATTTCCTTCAACTATAGCACTGGGAACGGCACTTTCTACATGTGTTGATGTACATCCTTGTGCAAGAATCCCATGTAATGATGAGGATGATTTACTTGCTTGGGCAAGAGTTCCTGCAACTTCCACTTTTCGTTGAACCTACGTTTCAATATATCCTTCGGCAACCGCGGAGGACTTCCACCCGCCATGTCGTTTAATGGTGACCAAGTCACTACCGCTGTTAGCTAAATGTGAGACACTTGAACGCCGGAAACAGTGCCCAGTGTATTGTGCCGGATTGGCTAATTGTAGAAACTCTGCAATCTTTCGTGGCGTCTTGCCCATTGTATTGATTCCGATCGAAGTAGTAATGCAGCGACCACTACGGTATGTTACAAAGAATCGTTGATGGCAAGTATTAACTGGGCGTATGCTGCTATATTTTTTTATAATATCAATCCACAATTTCTCGGTGATGACAAACTGTCTCATTACATTTGTTTTTGTTTTAGGCACCGATACAACAACAATATCATTTTTATATTGGATGTCGCCCAGTGCCATATTAGTCAGCTCCTCGCGTCTGCATGCCCCACTGTAGCCCATTATTAAAATAACCTACAACGAGAATACAAACAAGATACTCCTGTAGCTAGTACCTACCCACTAGAACAAAAAATTCTACTTACTTTTGTATCTAAATAATGCTTGTCGTCAGCCTCGTGAATAAATCGATTAATTTGCTCTAAATCTAAAATTTTTGATTTTTTTGGCTCATAGCCTTGCGAAAATCTTTTTAGCAGTGCTTGTAACTTGCACGTGCTTGTAACTTGACGTATCTTGTTTGTAATATCTAACATTCTTTATTTATTTTCTTTACACATTTAGGTAGGATCGTAGCATCGAGTACATTGTACCATAATGACGATGGCTTTTTCAAATGAGTTTGTAATTCAAAATAAGCCGTTCTCCGAAATGTGTTGGGCTTTATTTTCTTTACACCACTGGTCGAATTTAAGGTATTCCTTTTAAAAAAAGTTGGAAGCTGTTGGTTTCAACAGGATGGTGTAGCACAACGCCTAAATCCTGCGAGAATATCATCTGACAGATAGGTACCTACGCTATAAAAAGGAACATTTTTGTCTAATAGGTATTTTAGCGCGACTAGGGCGTTGTCTGCGAGTACCATGTTGAATCCAACAGCTCCCAACTTTTTTCCATCAGTAGTTTTTCTCGAAAAACTGACATTTGGCAACCACTATTTCGCACAGTTATAATTATAGGTGGGTTCATAGCTCTCCGTTCATAAATAAGCGCTTATATCACATTGAACAAAATTTTAAAGTAAAATACGAAAAATGGTACGAAAATAAGTTGAATAGAACGAATAGGCGATTTTTGTTAACGTTTTTCTAACCTCACTCTTTTGGCGGACCAACTTTCGTAAATATTCAACTTCAACCAATTTTCCGTCGTAAACGGACGACGTACGATTTGACATTTACTCTTTGTATAACGGAAAACGGAAATTTTTCTTTAGCTATAAACCGCCTTAAATGAAAAACGAAAATTGAAACGTTTTGGGTGAAATATTCAGTTTTTTTAAAATTTCAAAAGCGTTTTTTTGGTTAATATTTCACACCACTACGCCTCCCGGCACCCCTGTATCGTCAACCCTGTGCATCTCCGGGTAATTTCGAGAGCAATATTATGATTAAATGTCCACAAAACATTCGATATGTCGATCATATGCTATTCAAGTCTGCAAATTCGATTCCAAACATTCCGTGGGTGCGGGACGCGAGTGGTGGGAAAATGCTTTCTAAGTAGGTAGGTAGAGTTCCATTAATTACAATCAAAGTAAGTATTATTGCAAGTATTGTAATATCGACTTAAATCGTTATTTTTTTGTTATTTGCGACATTTTCAATTAACTAAATGCGAATTAATTAGATCACTCACTAGTATGCGGGGGACACTGAACCCGCAAACCCAATTTTCAAATCCGTATAACTTTTGTTTGAAATGTGATTTTAAAAAACTGTACGACAATTTTGTACACAACAAATTTCGTGGAATTCTCTCCATTTTCGTTGTCCGGCCAAGAATTGCGGCGGAACTTTTTCTTTCGAATTTTTAAAAACTAATTCCAGATTCGTGATTTTCATGTTCAAAAACCCCCAGATACCAAATTTCGTCGAAATCAGAATTTTTTTTCGCACCCTCAAAAGTATGGGTGCGCTCTTTCGTGGTAGGAATTTTGCAAAAAAAGGGCATAGGTACCCGAAAGCCTTTCAAAGACGTGAAACCCATCTTTGTAACTCTTATGATTGCAGAGAAAAAAATTAAACAAGAAATCCAAATTTCACCACTTCTTTGGGGTGGCTCCCATCCTCCCAAACGAAACACGTTGGACCCTCGGTTTATTTAGAAAAAGTGCTTGTCTTGATCCCCTCTATCACTCATTTTTTTTACATTTTACAGAAAAAACTGTAGTTTAAAGTTGTTCCGAATTAAAAGGTGCATTCAAAACTGTTTTTACATGTTTTATTAAGCTTTTGGTATACCCGCAAATTTAAAAATAAATTTTAACATTTCTGTTATTAATAGCAAGCAATAGCCATGACTTTTGTTGTTTTCTGGAAAATAAAATAACAGAAATGTTGAAATTTATTTTTAAACAGTTTTGTACGCACCTTTTAATTCTGAACAACTTTAAACTACAGTTTTTTCTGTAAAATGTACCGGAGGGCAGGATATTGCATAAAACTAATTTCCCATGTTAAATCCCTATGTTCCTACTTACCGTGCACCACCCGGTATATAATACTTAGGTAGGTACATTTTTTGCACTCCTTAAGCAATTTAAAAAAAATGGCAGTAAGGTACCTATTATACAAAATTTTTTTTCGTAATTTTCTGATCAATGCCGAAAACCGCATTTCGATACGACGTGATTGCAAAACTTTCGGGCGAAATCTTTCTAATTTCCCTTATCTAAAAATAGCAAATCTGCGTTTGAATGGCGCTGCATCCAAATGACGTAGCGTGCAAATATCACCGCACCCTTTTGTTGCGCGTCCATTTGTCGTGGATTTCAAAGAGTCTAATACACATATTTTGAGAACTAAGTGTCAAGAGAGGTACTTACAAAGAGAAAGTTGAGGGTATGAACTGATGTATCCATAGGGGGGGGGGGGGGTAAAAAATTGGAATGCCGGGAGTGGCCATCTTGCAAAGGGGAAATGGAACACATGTTCATGAATTAATACACGTTTCTCCCTTTATAGATTTTTACTTACCTTGTATTAGCTTTTCTTGATTAAAACTTGATGACTTTTTACACCTGATTAGAATTAATTAGGCTTACACAACAAATTGTTGTTGAACATTAATAAAACTAAAGAGGTATGTACCTGCCTTTAATGGAGCGCTTTGTTGAATTGGTGATTACTTTTGAATTAAGGTGAGTAAAAAATAATCATACAACCTCTAAATTCTTTTTTGTATCTAAGACGTGGGTACATTTTCTAGAAATAAATAATCTTACCTCCGAAGCGAGTAGGGAGAAATTAAAACAAAATTTACATATTAATACGTATTTTATTAAAATAAGATTTACAATGTCTTCTTTGCGTGTATGATTCTATTGGTTAATCTTGGTGATTTAGCATTGCTTTACCTAGTTACATTTGGATTGCATTAACATCTTATTTACGGTAACACGTTCACTATAGGTACCAATAGAACCATTGATTCATACATAAACTCATCAACAAAAGATGATACATGTTAACTGAAGGTCGGTAGGTAACACAATTGCGTCTTTTCCGAAAAAACAACAAGAAAAAATTATTCAAAGTGCATCAATGTGTTTCTTATCGCAGTACACCAGGAGGTAACGATAAGTAAAGCAAGGTAGGTACATAAATTGACAGGTTTGTAATATGGCAACATTGGGACAACAATGCTTAATATTGTGAATACTCGAAGACACTTATTGTTTGTCTAAAGTAAAATTTGGGTAGACAAACAGTGGCAAAGAAACATTGATAATTTTTTTACTTTCGTTTACTATTTTGTATCAAAACATGTTAACATTCTCCTTTTTGCTATCTACAATGTAATTAAAATATATTTAGCCTTTAAAAGACTTGGTTTGCGATTCGAGTACCTATAACATCGAACACGGATATGAACAACGAGTCTTTATACAGACAGGGTCAGCGATAACCTGCCGATATTATTTACAACACAGGTACTAAATAAACAACGATCATCGCGATCAGTATAGAATATATAAGAGCCGCAACAATAAAAAAATTTCAAGAGCGGAATAGATCGGAGTAAAACCTTTAAGTTGCCATTCGCTGCGCGGATTCTCTAAAGTAGCCCATAAAAAAAGTTGAGGTATAAAAATTATTGTCAACAAATATTTTTAAACTATAATTTGGGAAATATTCCATGTCTGCGCAGCAATCTTGTAATGTATGAATATTACCCATTTATTGCTAATATAGGTATGCTATTGGTTATAATCTTGAAGAAATAACATTGATAACAGCGAGTAAATTGCTGAAGATAGATATGCATTTGGCAGTTATTTTTGCGCTTTACTTGACAACTAAATACGCACTTATTTGATGACAGCCAATGTAAGTTGAAGAATGTGACCATATTTATATAATTATCTTTACTCTTTCAATCGCTGAGATGGATATTCAATATGGAAAAATGCTAAAGTATTGCAGTGGTCATTCCATCCAATTAATTGTGTTGACGACGGACTGATATGAAGAATAAGTACCACTAGACATAGTGTAGTCTAGGTAGTTTCAGAGTGACAGTAAAAACGGCAAAATCAGATCTACATTTGGATCTGAGGCTAAAAAATGCCCCTCATAACCATTCTATCGGTTTTGACCAAACTTATAGTGATACTGGACAATTGGACAAAATGATCAATTATATTTCAGTTTTTTTGCTTTTTTTTAACATTAAGCCTATTTGCTGTTGCCTCCCTCGTTTATTTAGGTAACAATAATTATTAATGGAGGACTTTGTCGATTTTTTTATAGTGACATTGTGTCAAGCATAAACCTTCTAATTGTACGTATCGTAGGTAGTTAGATAATGACTTTACAAGAAAGGAGTTAGATCACTATGATGCATTAATTATTTAGTCCCACATTTCGTGCCTATACTGATTGATCTAGCAAAGTTACCCATTTGCCATACCGACTGGCCCAGTAGGTAGGTACCTACCTAATTATTGTGCAAGTAACTGTATTGCTTTCATGCAGGGGACACGTACGGTGTAGATCACTATTTTGGTGTTTCTAGGTATCAACAAAGGTTACAGTAAAAAGGTTTGACTATCCTAACACTCATTGCCTTCCATTTTCTACGTGTACGGGTCGGGCCATGCATTGACATTGTAAAGATTTCAACCGATCTACATCACTCTAATAGAAAAAACGATGCTCATTAACAATTTTACACAAAAGGCGAACATTGAGTCTGCAAGTTAAGGATTGTCCTGCAATCACATCAATTCATATATACAACATTAAATCACTTGTTCCCATTTGGAAGGTTATCCACTTTATTCGCACGAAAATTATATCACCACAAAATTGATGTTGAAATTGCGGTTGTGATTGTCTTCAATTTCGCGAACGTATATTTACGCGCTAAAATCAAAGGATTCCCATTCAGAAAAACGAGATTCCTGTTTCTGGAGTTTTTGGGTAGCTTCTTTAAGGTAGGAATCCTGGATTCGGTACATACCGGAATTCGCTTGGAACATTAACGTTTCCAATATTCGCTCGTTCTTTATCGCCTTTGATGGAAGTACGACCTGCAAATCATTTATCAAACTCAAGTCTCTCTTCTTTTAAATATTCACATTTACCTTAATCAGTTCTTGGGGAGAAATTCGATATAGTTTTAAGTCTCTGGCAAGTCTCTCCATAATGCATTTAAACTCTAATTTCGCATCTAACTTACTCGACGTTTTTGTGCGTATTTTATATCTCGCCCAGCTTAGCATTGCTTCAAATTTTCTAACTTCGGGAACCTCCAAGTTCCTGCAATTATTGATAAAATAAAATACAATGGTTGACAAAATAGATTAGGTACTGGTTAAGAAAAGATTTTGTGTTTGGTTAATACTGTATCCATCCTGTAACTTGTAACATAAATGTGGGAAACTTATGCTCAAAAATTTGCAGGTGTCTCTTTGTGTAAAATTTCTTTATACTTAGAAATTATTTGCTAACCATTATTTTCTATAAAATACAGGTGTGTTTGGGTGTTTGGATAAGAAAACAATTGATAACATTACCTTGATAACTGTTTAATCTAATAAATAGTGCGTCTCACCACATGTGGAGGTGGTTGGCGATAACAGTTTGTATTTTTATGTGTTATACGGAATTATTTTGGCTTGATGTCAATAAGAAACAAAAAAAAGAAAATTAGTACCTACCTAAGTAACATTTAGCTGTTCTTTTCTGGGATTTGTTCGAATCGGGGTTATTTCTGTGTGAAAATAGAGGGCAGAATAGAGGAGAGTGAAATTGTAACGTTGTCAACTGACGAAAGTGCCGCGTCTTAAAATGATAATAATGAAAATGAGTAAGAAATTAGGTGTGAAGAATATTCAGAAATTTGAGGAAATTTGATGAATTTGGTGAAATAGAGGGTATAAAAGAAGAACGGGTAGTTTTAAAGCGGAGCTAAAACGAAGATGGATGGATGGATGAGAAGCAACTAAGATTAGATGCGGATGAATGTTATTCAGAAGGATAGTGAAAATTAAATACGAGGTAACTAAAATTCAGTTTTGGAAAAAAGTGCGCTTGATACGGAGTAATTAAAGGAAGGGTGTCGAGGAATTTAAGAAACATGACAGAGAAAGAATTTAGAAGCGTCAATTAAGAATAATAGGCGCATTTGTGGTGCACAGCTTATATACGAAATGTGAGGAGGCGAATTTTTGTAAGGGTTTAATGAAAGGTTATGGTGTAACACGAGAGCTCGCTATACAGTTAAAATTGTTCGAATTTTGGATAAGTATATTAGTGGTGTAGTACGACCGATCAAAAATGTTATATGTAGCGCTTCGAAGTGATGGGAACAGCCATTCGCGTTTAAAAAGCGTAGGTGTTGCGATAGAAGCGAATCCTCAAAATTGCGTTGGGGCCGTATGGGCGACGCAGTCGGGCAACATATTGTATATGAATAGGAGCTTGCGGGTAGTTGAAAAGCGTTGTGGTTTGGGGACGAATCTTCCAATTTCGTTGGGGCCATTTTGTTTTTAAACTCGGCGATAGAACTTGGGGAAAGGTTAAAAAAATGCGCGGAAGGATCGAACTTACAAAGAGCGCGTAAACAATTTATTTCCATACGCGATTACGCGAAATCTCGATTTTGAAGAGTTAATCGTCGTTATAAATCATTGTGCCGATCGAAACGAGGAAATGGACCGTTTAACAAAATGCCGTGCTATACGCTTGTGATAATAGTAGATATACAAGGCCGAACCTGGGTCAGTTCAAGGTTGCTACCTGGGGGCGACTTGGAAAAGTAGGCAAAGGTGAAGTTCAAAGGTCGCACGACACGTAGCGGTATCCTTGGAAAGTAGCTCAAGGGCATTCGCTTACAAGGTTATCGGGGGTCAACGGTTCATATTTGCGAAGCTACATTTTACTCCTTTCATTATTAAGGGTTAATGACCCCATTTTGTCATATTTTATTTTCAAGATCACCAGATCTGCTCGTGGTATTAATCAGCGTACCTAACTATAGCATTCGTGACAGCACCTTAAAAATATTCGACCATATTTCGACTACTCATGGTATTAAAATTATATGAAAATTAAAACCCATAAAGATATTCAACCCTGAAATATTGGAAACTATTACGATAAATGCAAACAATAGCGTACTTTTTTGAACGCGCGGAAATAAGTCAATAGATGCTTCTGATAAATCAACGTAATATAATAAAGGCAAATGAACAAAAAAATTAAGCTACATGAATTAAACCGTCGACCGTTTGCAGTGATCGTATTTGTACGTAAGTAATATTTTTATATTACGCCATTTTCAGCAATCGTGTTGGAATTTGAAATCATTATCATCAACCATTAATTTATGAGAGCCAGGATCTTGTATCTACCGTCCTTGCAACCACTGGGATTAACACAGTAGATCAGTCAGAATTTCGAGTTGAAGGATCCAGGGGTAGTCCCTTACCTTACTGCATAAATAAAGTAACAATATTTTTGGTATTTTTGTATAATAAACCGATTCCTAGGGTGTTGAAAACTTAGTTTTTTTATCATTTGAATAGTAATGGAAAACTCGGTCATTTCTCTGCAATCGGTCTGGAAAAAATCGAACTGTATTGTGTAAACTACGTCATGCGGATCTTTTATTTGGTTTCAGAACCTACCGTAATGTTGAGTCACCCTGTGTGTGTTTAATTTGCATTTATTTTGGAGTTTAAATGTTGGTCGCTAACTAGAATGAACACAATTTGGAACGGTGGTCGCGTTACCGTTTCGAATTTGTATTTTGTTAAACATCATACACAACTCCACAAAAAATCAGAACTACCGGATTTGACGCATGGTCTGATGTATATGGTTACTGAACTAATAGGGCAATTTACACAAATACCGCTTCGTAGCGAACGTGAACAAAAGTATGTGTGACCATCAAGAAACGTAATGGGTAACGCGAGCGCGGTTGCCACGATCTCTTCGAGCCTAAAAGTTGCGTTCATTCAATTCGAAATTCGGGTTTTCAATTGATTGTTAGGGCACGCCAATCGCGGTCATTGCGTTCAGAAAGGAAGGCCCGTTTCTGTTTTTCTAGCGGACAAAATTCAAATAGTGAGAGAAGTGGGAAAGCGAGGACTCTAAGCTGATTTTCGGGAACGAGCACTTACCAGTTCGGGCACGTTAAGTATATTATTATTCTAGGTTTCTTTTAAGTAAAAACGGCACGTTTGCGTAACTTTAAGAGCGAGCACGTACGAATACCGACTTGTGGAAAAAAATGATTTGCTTTTAACACTTTTAACAAGTTAGGGGTTACTCACCAAATCAATATTTAAAGTACAAAAACTTGGCAAGAAAAATAGAACTTGATCACTTTTGCCTTTCTTTTATAATTGTAAAGTCGAATTACGTGTAAAAAGTAAGGTTAATCTGTAAATAATTGCATTGCAATTATCTCTGATCATTGCGATAAGAGTTTATTATAGCTACGTAAAGTTAATTAAGTTTGAGGATAAGCAAAAAGCAAGTTTCACCGATAAGAATTAATTTCGTTCGACGGCGCATGAATTTTGATAAAGAAGTAGAGGCCGAAAGTGTAGAAGAGAAGAGTCGTTAAACAGAAGAGGCGAACGTGAAAGAAAGCTTTTTTGGTGGTGGACGTTAATCGTTGCCTTTTGTTCGGTGGGAGCTTTTCGTCTATGGCAAGCTTGTTTAATTGAAAAGTTGCAATAGAAGAAAGTTGGATGGTGCTTTAAGGAATGTTATGAATACGTAGTTATAAAAGTGAACGTGTCTCGTATGTTTATCGCTTATGTGAACTCTTTCTTTAAGTTCTTCAAGTTACCCGTCGAAGGGAGTTTTTCCACCATCTAAGAGCCAATATTACATCTGTAATTCAAACAAAGTCAGTGTCGATTCAAGTACAACCAAAGAAGTAAAGGTTTGGTGTTTGTGTGTTTTGTACGTCTGTTTCAAGATAATCGCAGTTATGACCGGACTTTAAGGATTATTAACACTTTAAGGTAATTAAGATTTCTTTTAATTAATTTGTTCAAATCGATCACTTGAGCGGAGTATTTGTCTGCTGGCCCTGAGCGCCATTTATTTCAGCTTTATTATTGATAGAATAAATTTGTTTCATCTGTAAATGTTTAATCGAACCCAAAACACAACCTAGATAAGAGTTCTCATGCCAAATTCTCTGTTGGTGTTTAAATAATCATTTTCAATTCAGTGCTTCGGAATTTTAGGGCTGATTAAGTTTGCTTAGTTTTCTCAAATTAATAAAATGAAAGTCTTACCGAGATTTCTCGTAGTAGCGTATGCTGGAAGTGTCCAGGAAAAATTATAATCATTTAGTACAAAAGAATTTTATGTAAGTTACATATTACCACTTTTTGGATACTTCGTTACATTTCGGATATTAACCGAACACAAACTTCTCTCACAAGTTAAAAAAGTTACATGCCATAAGGGACCAATAGAAACATTTTTTCCAAACACACCAAGGATTCGTTTGGCAGTTATGCCCAAAATTTTTTTCTCGGCAACTATTAACACGTATAAGGTTGGAACTGACGGATTTACCTTGGTTTTTTGGTACACAGATCTTTCTAAGGATTATGGTTGCAGAGTAAAAAATTAAAAGTAGATAACACCGATCCTAGCGCACTTTGAGCTTGATATCTGCGGATGCGCCAAGTTCAAGGTCATTCGATTCTGTTCTTATGTTTGTCGACATCGTCGATTAAACGAACCGGATCCTGTTAAACGGACTATTTCCATTGTACAGAACAGATTTGATTTTAATGAACAAACTTGTTTCTGTTTATCTGACCTGTTCTGACTCGTTTCTGCTCCGTCGATAAACGAATCAAATGACCTTGAACTTGACGCATGCGCAGATCTCAAGGTCAAACTGCGGTAGATTCACCGTCGAAAAACTGTTTATTTTGGTTCCTTTGTAAACCGAATTTAAACAATTAATTACCTGCACATTATCATTTGTACCATAGATTCACTAAGCGTCAAGAACTCCGCAGTTTGGAATAAAGCGTACGCTCTTGTCTCGACAAAAGCTAGTATCATATTAACTAATTCGGAGGCGGACGTATACCTCCAATAATAATTTTCTAACGAACATAACATACAACATACCTGAAATTTTGGAAATGAAGGCATTTCATATTAGCGACTTGTGGGACAACTTACAACATCTATTCGAAGAAACTGTTTCGCATGATGAAAACAGGCTTGCAATAATTCGGGCAAGTCGTAATGCTCCGCGGCGCAAATTAATCCAGGAATTGTGGCACATGTAAGAGGACACGATCCTGTGTGTAAATAATCTAATAAAATACGAAACGTTTCGGGATCAAATTCAATAATAGAAAATTCAGTTTGTGCGAGTTTTGCCCTATCTACTTTTTGTGCGTCTGCGCATACGCTTAGCCTGGGAACCGGCAGCTGGCCTACATTTGGTTTTTCTTTGCCCTCCTTGTCTTTACCATCTTTATCTGAAAAGTAAAAAGATACAATGTACTAAACATTTATGTGGCTTGGTTGATCAGCATCTGTAAATAATGTGAGGCACCGAATTACCTTCCAGAAGATTACAAACTCAAAAAGCAAATGTCTTTCGAATACTTACTAGAACAATCCTGACTGCTAGACCACTTTTTTTTATCATCTACAGTCAGTGTTTGCGTGTTGTGCTTTCTAATGGATTTGCCCCATCCTGCCGTTATTGTTCCCAATCGAGAGAACGCTCTCTTGACCATCGGCGAGCTTGGAACGCTCTTCGGCCTTGGCGATTCAATATCGGGAACTTGCAAAAAATTACTACTTTTTGGCCTTGATTGCTGAGGGCTTAACAATGTAGGAACTGGTCTAGCTAAAAGTTCGGCTACAGGTACCTGAGGCGACCCAAATCCCGTTTGAATGCCGTAAAGCATTTCTTGAAAAACTCGACTTCGAACGCCCAATATTGCACGAACACCAATAAACTTCACCTAAAGTCAGGTTGACATACACTGTGATTGGACAACTACGTACCTTTTGTTTTGATTGTCCTACCATAAACACGACATCAAACAGTTGAGCATTCTGCAGAATATTCTGTTCGGCATTCAAAAACACTCTAGTGAAATCTTTTGCTAGTTGATCATAATCTTCAAATTGATCTCTTACACTATCTAGCAAAGGCGAAGAGGGACGCATGTGCCCAATCGGTCTCCACGATCCTGCAACAGTCTCGGTTAACGTTAACGGTTAACGGCAAAACGCACTCACCTCTCCTGTAAGGCTTCGGAATTTGACCGGTTTCGGCATGATTTTGCAAATTCGCCACGATATCTTCGAGCATTTGCGATCGAGTTCTTTCCTGCATTCTAGCAAACTTCGGTGCCGAATAGCTTGCCCTTTCGCCGTTAACGATTTTTGTTAGTAGCCACTCTCTAAACATTGGACCTTTGTCAAAAACGCTTTGTTCCCATAAATAAGGCTTGTATGCTCCTACCTCGTCTCTTGTTACTACTGATACCTCATATCTTGTAGGTTTTCGTTTTATTCGCGGGGACGTTCGAACTGCAAAAGGAGGAAAATTGTACTTATACAGTTACTCCTATCTCATTATCTCGTTTAATAACCGGCTGAGCAAAACGATGCGAGCTTTTTTGGGGAGTCGATGGTGTTTGTCTGTCTGTCTGTGAACATGGTAACTGGTAAACGCTTGGATCGATTCGGTTCGAATTTTGAACAGTTGACCTACATATGTAAGAAGTATATGATTTTCGCTAGTGGAATTTCTTGACACACAGCTCGAATTCACAAAGCTATATATGTACAATGTGTAAAGCGATGGGGTATATAAGAGGGAATTTTTTTTTAAATATTGATTTATCAAAACAATTTATTCTTCATGATATTTTTTGCTTGCTTTGAAAGTACCAATAACGTTTCGATAATCTAAAATTTACTTATAGAAATTTGGAAAAATAATAAAATTAATTTTTTTAATTGAAAGTTATCATTCTACATTATCATCAAGATAAATCAAACAATCCAAACGTTATTGGTACTGTCAAAGCAAGCAAAAAATATAATGAAGAATAAATTTTTTTCATAAATCAATATTTAAAAAAAAATTCCCTCTTGTATACCCCATTGCTTTACACACTGTATCTTTCCGTTCTCGAGGAACAGACTCGGACAGAAGGATGGACAAAACTATCACATAACGAAAAATTCGCCTAAAAACCATCGGTGTACGTTTAGTAGGCTGGTGAAGAACATGTACGATGAAGCAAATACCAGGGTAAGGTCAAGTGTTGGAATTACGAATAGGTTTCCTGTGGGAGTGTACATCAGGGATCTGTGTTCAGTCCATATTATTTACTAAAATAATGGACGTACTGACGGAGGAAGTGCCAGAACAGGTCTCTTTGACCATGCCCTTTTCGGATGATATAGTGGTTGTAGATGAGAGAAAAGAGAAAGAAAATCTGGAAAAATTGTGTCAAGTAGTCCAGGATGAACGACAAAAACGGAGTACGTGCGGTTTGGAGGAGAGGGCAGTCTTGGTAGCATAAACATATGTGATAATCCACCCTCATGGTTAGGCAACACACCTTTACATCTGAAACAAAAATATGATATGCTCTGTATATAACCAATCGACCGTTTTGCGCAGATGTTGAATACTAGTGGATTTTCGTAACGAAGGTAGGGAAGAATGAAGAAGATGGCGACGAGGTCGAAGGAAGGCATCACGCGTTCCCGGTTTTTATTCTTGATTATTTTGGTTGTGGTGTTTTGAAGGTGTATTTACAGGTAGTAACCATTTTATTCTTTCTTGTACTAGCTATTAATATTGAATTTCTTGCCACAATTTGATATTATTTACATTTTGCTGATTTTGCATAAACTACGATATCTGAATCATGGCGTACTATGCCTTTGTTTTGAGTACCGTGATGAATCGTGTTTGTTATACTGTACAGGTGATTATGCCATTGTTTTGTTTAATTAAGTATTTATTTCTGTATTCACGAGGAGTTGATTATCAGTGCGATGTTGCTCTGTCCGATTGATCCGTAACTATTCCGTGAGGGAAGTACCTAATACAGTTTGATTGTTCGCTGTATCTGTTACTTTCTGATTCGTGGCGCGCTGCAGTTCTTGTGCGTTAGCTATACGAAGGGGGGCTCTCTTATTTGATGTTTCGATGTTTGTGTGTGCGAGTGGGTCATTCTGTCTCCGTGGAGTAGGTACCTAATACAGTTCGATCTTTCGCTGTATCTGTTGCCTACTCGTCTCGTGCGGATTGCAGTTCTTAGCATCTTAGCAATGCGAGTAGGGGCCCTCTCATTAACATTTCCTCTATTTAAAATATGTTCTGCTTGAGCGATAATCGATTTTCACATGAATACTTGCTATTGGCCATTGGCATTCTCACATGTACTTTTCGTGTTAAATTAAATTATGTTAACGGAAGGCTGGAGTAGAGCCACACCATTTACATGTTTCCTATGTACATGCAATTTGTTTATTTGACGAGTTGTGTTATCTCAATTGATCGTACAGGTATTTTGATGTGTTTTTGTACTGAATTGATTTATCATGTTTTCCACTGCATTTATGATGTCTTGTGTATTTTGTTTTTATGAACTTGTTTAATTGCATTTGATTTGATTATCTGATTTTTATCATACAATTTGACATGTTTTATTTATGTGTATTTTCTCTTGCATTCTATTGCTGTAGGTGATTTATTTTATGTATTTGTGTGGCCTATGCCAGGGTTTTAGTCCCGTAGAAGGTTTCCCTGGCATGGTCTTGTTGTGTGCGTTAATATATTTATTTGTTCTTGTCATTGCTTACGCACAAAACTTCTGTCTTTTATTTAATTCCCTTCCCGATTATGTCTCACGTCCCAACACATACAAGAACCGATTACACAACGTAGGAGTTCATTCGGGCCATCCATGTCGAGCCGACTGCCATCCAAATTCAAAAATGCCGCGAAACCTCCATCGCTTCGACTTGAAAGGTAGGTGGCTCTGCTTGTAGATTTTTTTTGCCAATGGTAAGTATAGGGTAAGTCAACGTTTTCAGTGTCGGCTTGATAGACCCCTAGGAACATTACACATACTAGAACAGAAATTGGTTAGAACTGGAGAGTCCAAATATGTGGACTCCTACGTTACTGAAAAGCGGGAACTGGACAGGGAAATTAACCACAGGATTCAAGCAGTATGGATGAATTGGAAAAGATGACGGGGATACTGTGTGACAGAAGGATTAGGAAAAAAATTCAAGGAAGGGTGTTCAAATCTGTATCAAGATTTGTGGCAATGAGACCTGGCCCACGAAAAGTGACTGAAGGCAGATGAGATGAGAATGTTGAGGTAGACGATGGGAAAAACTAGGAAGGAAGAAAGCTAGGGTAGGGCGAAGTGATTGAAGTATCAAGGAAAGTTCAGGAACGAAGACCTTTTGGAGTATTTGGCAAACAACTGATTTGAATGTTTTAAATCAGGGAGCAGCCCCCAGCCCCACCTTCGTCACAGTGCGGAAGCAGGAGGTTATCGATCTATCGTTGGGCTTCTTTCCAACTAAACCTGGCATCCTACTGCGGGCTCTCTAGGTTTCGGAATCCCCGATTCACTGTGGCGAAACTGTCACAGCGGTTGGATGGGCCACGTTTGCTCTATCGGAAAGCCGGGAAGGTGGAAGAGGCTACCGAACACCCTGGAACGCAGACCTACAAGCGATGACTCTTCGCCTCCTCCAAAGATCGCCCGAAAATGATTGTTACAGTTTACCATTACCTCGATTTTAAGTTGTTATAATGAAGGAAAAAAATTTCTAATGTAATTATTTTATTTTCACTTTTTTTGGAAAACTTGTCAATATTCACAGAGCTGAATCTCTGGAACTAATTGGGTTACAGATCTCGCACATAGCTGGTCTTTTAGCTTTTAGGTAATTTTCTCTGCTTCAAAAATGGTAATAACACATTTACTCGTCAGATCAATCCTTTACTTCTTTTTTTGCGAAAAACTGAAAAAAGTTTCAAACTTTCTCGATTTTCACCCTGTATATTGGCTGGCTCGCGTTTCTGAGGGTTGCAAATCTAGATTTACACTGTCTAGGTTGTGGTTGTCCCTAACAACATATTAAAAATGCAAGTTTACAGTATTTTTTGCAATGTTTAAAATGACTGGCCTATAAGTACTAATTTTAAATTGACTTTTGACTATTTTGTATGCCAATACTCATATACATACAGTGAATTTTTTTAAAATGCGAACATAGGAGTTATTGCATGCAATGTAATTTCCCTGTGTTCGATTTAAATTTTTAAAAATCGTCCAATTTAATTACGAAATCGGTTAGGTTATTGCTTAGAATGTCAAGGAGGACACTTCGAACATTTATTGTAATTGTTTTCGGTATTTATTTTCTTCATTTATGTATTGAATAGATCAAATTAGTAGAATACCAGGCGCACATGATCTACAAATAATTGAAGGTTGGTTCACAATGAGTTGTGGTGTCAGTGCGTGGCCTGTGAGGTCAAGTTATCGTAAGTTTAAGAAAAATGTATCCTAAAGTTGCTATGGCTTCTTTAAAAAAATCTTACCGAGTGCTCTTCATCATAAAAACTATGAGTTGCTGTTCATAGTCACACAAGTTGCGCGTTTTGGGAATGTGAACCGCGCACACCTCATAGATTGATGTGTTTTTTTTTAAATCGAACATAGGGAAATTACATTGCATACAAACTCCTATGTTCGCATTAAAAAAAAACTCACTGTATATTGCAGGTATTGCAATAAGCCAGGACATCCAACAAACAAGAAGGGTTTATTAATGCTTTTTACACCATTAAACACGTATGACCCGGAATAGTAATAGTGGCGAAATTGAGCTGCTATGAAGGGGTTGTAGATAATTAAGGTGGTGATTGATGAGTAGAACAAAGTTTATTTTGAGATTTACTACAAGCGCGCTGTACATACCTACCTACCTTACGTAAATATTCTCATAACCGTAAGCACCGTAAGTCACGAGTAGAAGCAGTTTCATAAATCATGATTTGAGAAACTGATAGAAGATTTATGATATACTAGTTTCCTTTTTTTACATTTATCTCTATTACCTGCCATTCTGACAAAAATGTCTCCGCTCTGAATAAACGGTAGCATTTTCAGATGCAATCAGTCGCCGATATACAATTTTAAATTCAATTTATTGTCGCGAATAAGATCGAAGTGATCTTATTTCTTAGAAAGTTAAATAAAATTGAATTTTTAATAGAATATGTCATTTAACGAGGAAACTTACCAAGTATAAAAGTGTGGAGGAAGTGACTTTTGATGCATGCAGGTGAAAATGATGTGTTATCCGCTTCCAAAAAGACTACGCAAACTATGTCATTTCCTATGTGTCGTTTCCTTTGCAATTTTTGCGAATCGTGTTTTTCATAAGGCAAAAGGGTGCTCACGTGGAACATAATTTCTATATTACGCCAATTTGTATAAATAGAGTATAATCCTGAAAGTAGGTATGCCATTAGATACTACAGCAGTAATCGGGTAACTCAGCATCCCTTACCAGTCAAATCGTGAACGGTGTCTAAACCACCTTTGTATCTATCGAATCCTTTTAATCTTACTTTTTCACCTAAAATTTGTAGGAACTCTTCAAATAACATAGAATTATCATTATTATCTAAAATTTCTTCTTCCGTATATTGGCCTTCCTTAATGTAAATTACACCCACTTTCAATTCAGACTTTATAAAAACCTAAAACATAAATAAATTAGTGGTGACATCTTAAACACGGTTTAAGAGAAGTGTTTTTAAGTTGGCATGCAAAATGCAAGTAAAAACTACCCATTTATAGCATGAAGAGTGAATATAAATTCTAGTTTATGAATAGATAAGTGGAAATTCCCGACTTCTTGGAAACACGAAGCTATTGCACATAAAGGATACCCACCTGATCTAATTTTAAAAGTTCTTCGGGTGTATCGGGCAGTTGACCAAGCGTAAGGGGTGGGTTAATGTTCACTTCTTTGCCCAATGATCTAACCACTTCTTCTCTGTTGTAACGATCCGCAAAGACACAACTCGCGGGTATCAAACCGTGTACTGTGTAGCTTATAGCCCTAACCAATATCCTGAAAAGAAAATCTTAGTGTAACAATATGGTTGAAATGAAATAGTTTCGTGTGGGTTATTTTTCTTATTAGGTGATGCGATGGGGAGCCTATACTGGGTGTCACCGAATCTCTTAGAGAAGCTGGAATTTTTAAATAGAACAACCTGTATATTTTTTCATTTTTGGATAAAAATAATAAATTAGTATCGTTAGATTCGTAAAAAAAATCCTTTTTTCGGAAAGTGCGCTTGTCAAAAAAGGGTTGCGAAATGAACAATGACATTTGTAGATAATTATCACTTCCAAACGTACATGATCTATTTTAATTTTTTTCATTACGCACGGGTGTGGGTAATGGGTACTACAACTTAGAATATTTTTCCTTCAAGGTTTTACATTGCTAATTAATTTATTATGTGAGCAGGTACCAGAACCGGACATGAATATTGGGGCGAATGAACCATTTCCGAAGTAAAGTTCAAAGTGAAATATTTCATTTTTGCATATCGTTTCTTTTATGTACCGGGTGACCCAATAAGGCTGTTCCTCGACCATATCTCGAGAACCGTTCATTTTCAAGTTCTAAAAATGACCAACAGAGGGGGTAACTGCCATCTTAAATTTTAAAATTGCATTTTCTTTAAATTTCGCATAATAAACTAAACATTTTTTCACATTTTTAAAGAAAACCAGTTTACCTAGGTATCATTCTCGTAAAAACAAAAACTCAGTTATTTCACAAACAAAGATTGTGTGGGGCGTTCAATTGTTTTTGCAATAACTTGCTTTAACTTCTTAACCGTTTGACCTATTGTAACAAATTTGGTATGGTCGAAAAGAGCATTCCTTGGGCAATGAAAATCAACCAAAATATAGTTAATTTAGTTGAATCCTTCTCCGCCAGGGGGCTAGTTTTGACACTATGACCCAAACTCCTAAAAAAATCAAATGGAATGATATGAGTTTTTCTTTATGAAATAGTAGCCAAATAACATCCAAAGAGGCCAGTGAAAACCGTTTTTCAAAATCTCGTTCCTAACCTCAATTATTGGGAAAATGAGATTAATTATTTAATTAATAAAAATGCTTAAATTGTCTCTTAAATTTACTTTTACCTACCTGAATACCTGAATCACAATCTCCGTTTTAAACACTCAAATGCGTGCGAAAAAGGGCCTTTAAAACACACGTGCTTTAAAGTTGCTAAGTAACGATACTTCAAGTATGACTTTTGAAACTGTCATTTGGATGAAATAAAAAATCCTCTTAGGTCGCTTTCTGTAAATGCAGAACATTTCTTTGGCTTTTGTACCTATCCTTTGGTTGAAGCTTTCACAAACGCGCGTAATTTAGGGTATGCTTCCAAATCTGTTCCACTTTTTAATCGCAGCATTGCTTTAAAGTTTTGAATGAATGCACCAAAATATAGAAGATTTAAATACCTTTGACGTTTCCTTCATATATGCCAGCATTATGGATGCATTTAAGACTTTATTCGTAAGTAACTTCCTATTCCATCCATGGAAACATTCATATTCTTTATAATAGGCTTTACTGGATTTGGATTTTACACCTACCAACGTTTGTTTAGATTTTACAACAATCGATTTAATGGACGGTGTATTGTCTTTTTCAACGGAAATCGTTTAATTCACAAAGACGATGATTTTTATAAGCAAACGTCAAGTGACATTTCCATGGCAATCGTGAAATTTCGAACACCCAGCCCACTTAATTAAACATGTATTCGAGTGTAACGTCAATATGATTTCATTGTATTTCCTATTTTTAAATTATACTGCAGGTATAATAAAAAATACTATAAGATACACGTGTATAATTGGTCTTTAAAGCACTTGCAACGTTAAAGGCACTCCGCTTTTCGTCGTGCCCTTAAACTCGTTGCGCGTGCTTTAAAGACTTGATTATACACTTGTATCTTAATATACTATTTACGTATTTCCGGTATTTGTCGATGGCGCAAAAGAAAAGCACACTAGACTTTTAGGTAGGCCATGGGAAATTAAACAAGTGAAACACGATGCATTATAAAATATTAGCAGCCGTAATTTGTAAATTATTCTGCTGCGTTTACATTCAGAAATTGCAGTTTTTTGAATTTGTAATCTTTTCTAAAATTCCGATTTCTAACCAAGAAGCATTTAATATGCTGGCGATATATTTTGAGTATTTTCAAAATGCGACCATCGCTGCTCGCATCTTCTATTTGCGTTACCCGAATCGACCACGAACCATCGCCGCCAGCATATTAAATGCTTCTTGGTTAGAAATCGACATTTTAGAAAAGATTACAAATTCAAAAAACTGCACTCTCTGAATGTAAACACAGCAGAATAATTTACAAATTACGGCTGTTATTATTTTATAATGCATCGTGTTTCATTTGTTTAATTTTCCAAGACCTACCGAAAAGTGTAGGGTGCTTTTCCAAACAATCTTTCGCGCCATCGACAAATACCGGAAATACGTAAAATAAGATACAATTCAATTATGTTTATTAATTAATTAATTAATCTCATTTTCCCAATATTTGAGGTTAGGAACGAGATTTTGAAAAACGGTTTTCACTGGCCTCTGTGGGTGTTATTTGACTACTTTCTCATAAAGAAAAAGTCATATCATTCCATTTGATTTTTTTATCATTTTGGATCATACTGTCAAAACTAGCCCCCTGGCGGAAAAGGATTCAACTAAATTAACTATATGTTATGTTGATTCTTGTTGCCCAAGGTGTGCTCTTTTCAACGATACCAAATTTGTTACAAGCGGTCAAACAGTTAAGAAGTTAAAGCAGGTTATTGCAAAAACAATTGAACACCCTACGCAATCTTTGTTTTTGAAATAACTGAGGGTTTGTTTTTACAAAAATGATAGATAAACTGGTTCTCTTTAAAAATGTGAAAAAAGAATGTTTAGTTTAGTATGCGAAATTTAAAGAAAAAATGCAATTTTAAAATTTAAGCTGTCAGTTACGCCCTCTGGTGGTCATTTTTAGAACTTGAAAATATTTTCCAGCGATTTTTCATAACCAATTTACCTAATCATTTTTTTTACCCCTAACTCAGACCACGAACGGTTCCCGAGATATGGCCGAGGAACAGTCTTATTGGATCACACGGTGCGTACTATTATGTCCTTCCTCGCCCTTCTCCATTCCTGCTGATGGGCCGATGTTTGCGTTTCGGTTCGCATTTCGAGCATTGGGCGCATCTATTTGTTGGCGCCTGCATAGACCTCATCTAAATTGGGGAAGAAAGGTGAAAGAAACGGTAACAATTTGAAATAGTTGGAAAATGGTGACGCATAGTGACGCAGGGCTCACCTTTTGTTCGTGAATTCAACTGCAGAAGGAATGCAATATATTTCATGCCACGTTACAGTGATATCTGTCACACAAGGTTGTTGTTTTTCCACTGATGCTATGGTATGATGATATGACATAACACACGATAGCGTTCGCGTTCGCGTTGAGCAGTACAAAAAGTTTAGGTCAGTCACCCGTAAGTTTGCGTGGGGAAATTCGCGTCAAGTGCCGTTAGAGTTGTTGCGTCGAGCCGAGTTAAGTCTATGATCCCATAAATTACCACAGATTTCGCGAAAGAAATTACGGAAATATTTGCGTTCAGCCTCCCGCTAGTATTGGTTCGGTGACTTTTAATGTAAGGGCGAGACTGTATGAGACTATTCATTATTTTTTTATGATATTGACGCTTACCGTCGCGATACTTAAAATTCAAAAAGACCCATTCTCATTTAAGAACTTTGTTTGCAAATTTCTGTTATATTAAGCAAGCCTACGTCAATAATTCTTACGAGAAGATAGCATTGTTTTAAATCAAAATCTTAGTACAAGCAGGCATTTTTTTAGTGCTGAATTTGTTACGAGTACATGTTACATGTTACGAGTACCATCACAAGACGTTCTATGATTAAACTATTGTATGTATAATGATATGAAGGAATACGCGAGAAGGTATAAGAAAACGAAACAATTTTAAAACAGAAATGTTATCCGTTTGGATTTGTTGACTATTTTATGAAACTCTGTTCTTATGTTCCATCCATATCAAACATTTCAACTCTTTACAAAACTACTACAAATTCATGTGGATCTAAATATTAGAAGAAATACTGAAGGAAAGTTGTATTGCGATCTATAAAAATATTCCTCCTAAGGGAGGAATATTTGCAAGAGTGGTTTATAAATTTTAAATTTGCATGGAAATTAGTTACATGCAAAATTGATAAACGTGCTATATTTTTAAGAACATCCAACGTCGCATATTGTGGGTTTGTATACGCCACGGCAAAATGCAAACAGGGTATTAGAACTAAAGCTGTTTGCAAAATAAAGCAAACGTAGATAATAATTCCATCAAAAACTAATTATAGCGATTCGAACGAGGGTTTTATTCTTTCCTTTGTGCATTAGAATGCATAGGATAAATTAGAAAAACAAATGTTTTATTAATAGTTATTTACATAAAAGGAAGATGACACATTACTGCCGAGATAATATTGAAGCACGAGGCCCCCTTGGGGTCGAGTACTTTAATTTATGAGTCAAGTAGTGTCATTTTACTGACGAGTTTTGTATTATATTTTTCATGAAATCGTCTGTTTTAAAATAAAATTTTTAATCATATAAAACGAAAATATCCTGACATAAAGTAAGCATGTAAATGGTTTCGTGACGATTTCGGGAAAAAGAATGAGATAGAAAAAATGTCTGGAAGAGAAGCACCCCATTTGATATAACGGCATAATGGTATGTGTACTTGTGCTAGTAATGTTTTTTTTGATACAGAAATAACCTGATCAAAGCGTCCTTCCCATTTATGTAAACTATTAATGTTTTATAACCGAAGATGTTCCACTTTTGCATCCACTGTAAATTAGAAGTAAACGTTCTCATTTTGGCTAAAAAAATTCACAGATTTCGCAATTCTTGCAACTATCGGAGACATTGGAAATGATAACCGTATAACGCCATATGTA